AAAAAAAACAAAACAAAAGCAGTAGGGGAAAAAAATGGAAAAAAATTACCGGAAAAAATTTGAAAAAAATTCCCGGGAAAAATATCCACCCAAACTGAGGGCCTCATCTCACCAATCAACATCAATCAACCACTTCTGCACCAGTTCTCGAGCCAACTGGGCCACCTGATTTTGCCCCAACACCCTGTGACCGGACCCCGCGGCTCGCGAGCACGCGACAGGAGCGCTTGGTGAAGGTCTCCCAATCGCTACAGGCGAAGCAGATGGTGCATCGCCAAACCTCCCTGTCCAAGGAGCCTTTCGGAAAGGATGCATACTGTGAGAATTATGGTATGCAACACCAAGATGTATATATAATTATAGTTATTATATAAGTATAATCACATCATCAGGAGGACATTTGTCAGATGTATATAGTCTATATATGTCTATACATAGTATAATTGCACCATGCAAGACTACAGTAAGATGTACCATGATGTGTTGTGAATTTCGTTCTCCAGTCCTGGCGTTCCTGCACTGCTGGCGCCCACAGGAAGAAGCCTCTGCCGCCGAGCGCTTAGCCGATGCCATGGCCGCTCGACTAGAGGATCGGATGTGCAGGTAGAACCCACCCCCTAACCGAGAGGTTCTACACTCCTATGTCCTGTTATTCTTTGGTGTGCTTTCTCGAGGTTTATGTAGAGGTGGGAGTGTCACATGTATCAATGAAACGATCTGTTGATTCATAACCCAGCCTAATTGAGCTTGAAGAGGTTTTACAATCCAATTTTTTTTTTTGGGTGTTATCAATGAATCTAGCGGCCAGCTGTTTCAGAGGTTCTTTTTGGCACCCCACGAGGTCTTAGACAGATGGGGTCCAATGAACAACACCACCTGAGTGCCGAAGATACCCACATGGAACAGTTGTGCATACTTGTGCCATCAACTTTGCATGTGGGTCTCTTTCTTCGTAACGACATTTGTGCTCTCCAGCAGTCGTCAACGGGGTGCTATCCATGGAGTGCTACGGCTGGATGGGACGGGCCACAGCACCCAACTCCAATGTGACTCCTTTCACTGCCCGTCTTTGGGTCTTTGGTCGCGAAGGAGGTCTCGTTGGATCGGCCATCTGCTTGGAAGTCGCACTTTTTGAAGCGCAGCTTCGGTCGATCAGATCGAGCCGAAGCTTCAGTAGGAGGTCTGGGAGGCGGTCTCAAGTCTTAAAGGCGCAAGGTTGGAGGCACATGGGCTATTAGGTTGGAGGCCATCGCTCGGAAACAAGCTTCCTTGCGTGTCGTGTGTGTGTTTCTTTTTTCTCTCTTGGGTGAATCCAATATATCGGAAGAATGTGAAATGCCCCAGGTCTGCAGAATTGCCTTGGAAGACTTCTGGTTTCTTTCTCTCCAATGTATGCAACTCTTGTGAGCCCTGGTGCCCAACATTTGGTATATAGACAACTATTGTCAGCCCATCTGCTAACCATTCCTGGGATGGTTTCTTTGTGTGTTGATCGTCTTTTGATTCCGAACATCGGTTCGGTCGCGCGGCCTGGAACCATGCGAGCTTGGACCCTGAGGTTCCGTCGCTCGCTCGGTCTCGGGTTTCGACCGCTGCGAGCCAAAGTGAGCCGCTGGTCCAGTCGTTGAGACACCGGGGAGCAAGGTGAATACCAACACGAACGGAAGAGGGAAGTGTTTTTTTCCAAAACACTCCATGGGACCATGCCGTAGATGCCGCATCAGTTGACCCCCTGGCACCACCCCAATGTACAGTAGGCAGTCCTATGGCAGGCATACATGGAGTGTTTGGGTATCAGTTATGTAATAACCTAGAGTTTCACGGCTGCCTTCATCCATTGACCTCTCATCATCCATTCAATGGGAGTAATCTCTTCCTGACCTTCTCATCCTCCACTTTGGGAACCTCGGACCTTCAAGAGGTCTGCCTTTCTTTTGAGTTTGTGTCTGATGTCGTGACCTGTGTCTCTGGAGTTCTCAAGGAAGGTCCTGGATCACTTTGAAGGTCCTTCGGTCCAGTTAGTTCAGGGTTTGTATAGACCCTTTTCCCTCCAAACAAAAGGCATCGTCCACCCAACATGGGACGCGCCACTTGCAAATTCATCCTCCGATCTCTTCATTCGAATTCAACATGCCCCGAACTGGTTCGCGACCGACGCAGAACTTCTGACAAGTGCATCTTCTTGGAACGTTTTTGGAGAACACTTTGGCACAACGGACTGATTCCATTTTTCTTTAAAGGAACAATGTGAGGAAACAGATGTTTTCCACACCCATGGGCATTCCTCCCACCGGCCCTTGGTGTTCTTGGACTCGCCCGGACCGCGCTGCTGCGGGGCGTGCGGTGCCACCGTGCACCAGGCGGCGCTCGGGGGCGACGACTACGGGACCTATGCGGCCATGGCCAAGTCCCTCCGGCCGAGGCGCGGCGGCGACGCCAGTAGCATCCTTGCTCCTAGTGCGCAGGAACTGGAATCTGGAATTGCTCCTAGTAGCGTCCTTGCTCCCAGTAGCGAGGCCCTTTGCTCCTAGTAGCGTCCTCTACCCCTTTTCTTAGACACTCCCAGACACGACGTTGCATGGGACATTTTTTGGGGTGTTTCGCCAGGTCAAGCAACCGAATGTAGGCATGTATTTATATCCATACCAGAGCCCCACAAACCATCCCAAACCTGGTTAACCCGCAAAACGCCTGGTTTTTGCATATGAACACCTGGTGTTCTGGTTTAGAGTTTAGAGGGCCCCTGGTACACCGGTGTGTAGCTCAAATAGGGAGACCGAACCATAGGCATTCCGACTTGCTGCCGCGACTCGAAGAAATAGGACCAGTCTAGCCAGGGACGAGATGTGGGAGGTCTTGGGGGATATCTGGTGAATCGTAGGGAGGTTTTTGGGGAAGTTTTTGGGGAAGTTTGTGAGGTTTTTTTGGTGGGTTGAAGTGGGCTGAGGTGGTGGTTTTGTTGGTTCATGTGCTGAGCTGATGTTGATAGTTGATGACAGGTGATGGGTGAGATTTTCGATTAAAGTCGTGAGCGGCTATGGCTCCTAAGGATGGATATGACATACCTAGTGACCTAGCATAGTTCGCACCATGGAGTCGTCTCAATAACATTTTCTCCAAGGTCACTGAGTCATGCTTCGTCCGCCATTTCTGGGAAGTTGTGACAAGGCACTGGTGGTTTTCCTGCCTGATGAAACCAATCCCAAGCATTTTCTCAGGGTTTTCCTCCCCCAAGCCAGGCTCTGGAACGACAGAGCCGCCTTGGATGAGGATCTCTCGTAGGCACAACGTTTCACCGGGGCCAATCCAAGATTTGCTCCAGAATTTCGCTGCGGCACCTTTTGTTCTTCGACATGATGCACGGCGCTCTTTTTCGTGTTTGGATTCCCTCCCCCCTGGCACAGGTCCCTCCTGGCACACCGAACTGATGGCACGCAGAACTGAACGGTTCCGTTGACCTTCCTTGACCACAAGTCAAACAGAACCTTGCACACGTGGCACTCACTCTGCGACATGGATTTCAACCGTACCGTCTTTGGCACATGCTGCAGCTGAGGAGGTTCCGAACTTGCCACAGAACATCCAATCCGCACCACTGCGGAGAGGGTTCGAGCCATGAGGCTCCATTGGAGGAAAGCCTTCGCCCTCCAAAAAGGAGAGTGGTGAGTCATCTTGCGAGACCCCCGTGGTGGGGGTGACATGAAACACGCTGCTCATGGCTTGCTGCGGATGTGCAGGAGTATGTTCTGAATCACATCGATGATCATGAGATGTTTTTTGAGTCCTGCCAACAAAATGGTCCAAGCAACCTGCCCTGAGAATTCACAGAGAATCTGCAGGTCCTCTAAGGATTAAATCTTCTTTTCGTAGAGGCGACCAGAACGCAGCAACTGCTACCAGGACCTTCCTTCTGAGGTGTCCATTGCCTCTTAGTGGTGATTCGCGGTGTCCCAAAACTACCGAACTGAAGTCAGGTCCTGGTACGGTTTTCAGGGCTCAGGGCTCACCGGTCAACACTGGGCTGCCGGGGGTGGGGGGCAGACGAAGGCAGGCAGAAAACACTGAGTTCATCTCAGTGATTTCAGGAGTTTTTGTCAGATCATTTGGTCCCAGAAACGTGGGCCAAGGGGAAGCATGGGATGCATGGATAGAGTGGCATTCACTTCACATATTGGATATGGTGGTCGTGTTTTGGGGAGCCTTGTGGATGCTTCTGAAGCTCAAAGAGGTTGACATCGTTCTTCCTTGCCACAGCCAGTTAAGAAGAAGGGGCTCTCAGCAAGCGTTGGGCTCTTGGAAAAGGTAGGGGCACTTCAACAACCAGAGACACTATGTGAAAAGATGGCTCTCCTCTATCCAAACGGTCTTCAGGCGTTTATTGAACACAAGATGCAACGGCTCTCATTGCAGGTAGATACTTCAAGCCTGGTTGCTGGGTGTAACATTTTTAGAGTTGAACCTCCTCCTGCGATTCTTTTGCTTGGTATCATGTAGCCACAGCTCAAAACCCTTGGCTACTCTCCATACCCACTGTTCAAAGTAAAGACCAGACCCTTAACATCGCTCGAGGATGTTTGATGGGCGAACCCATCCTGCAGCCATTGTGGCCCATCCAATATCACTGTTTGAAGCCTCGGTCATGCTCGGTCCGACAGCCAGACAGCCACCAGCCTAGCGCCTCGCATGAGAGCGGAGGTGAGCAGCGAAGGTGCAAGGGAGTGATGTCCATTGTCCCCTCTACGACAGGGGTGTATGGAGACCTCATATTGACAAGCAATAGATCCGAAAGCTGCCATGGCTGATGCCCCTTCAATTGAGGATTTGTCCTCACTGCTTCTTGGCTGCTTGCACATGGCTTGGGCCATTACAGACTCTGTGCAGGTTTGTGCGAGGCTACGACTAGGCATACTAGGCCTTGATTGCAACATATCTTTCGTGCACGCTGCTTCTTTTTCTTGCCCAGACGCTCATGGACCCTCATATGGAGGGGTCTGGGGTCTCAAATCCCTAAATATTGAGGGACCAAGGGCTGTGAACGGAGCGTCTGGGTACTTGTTCTTTTCAACAATCAACAACCACCACGATCACGATCACCTGCTGATTGCCATGCACCCCTTCTACTACAGGGACACCCCATCGACTCCTTGCACCTGGGTCACCAGACTCCCTTGAACTCCAACCTCCAAAAAACCCAGAGGTGGCCTTCCCGGAACCCACGACCCAACCTGCAGGGATTGGACCCCAGATACAATTGGATGAACTATCTCGGTTGGGGGCTGCGACCGAGCGGCACCCGACCGAGCTCCGCGCACGCTCAGCCGCGCGGGGCCCAGAGGGACTCAGCCTGACCGGCGCCCAGGTCCGAGTCCGAGTTGACGGCTCACCTCGAGGCCCTGCGCGCCGCCTTCGAGCAGAAAGGCCCGAATGCGCGGCGCGGGAGGAACGAGGTCGACGGGGTTTGACGGGGCGAGGTCTCTGAGGGGGTGGTTGGGGCGAGGTGACTAGGAAGAGAGGGCAGGTTTGAAGAAAATGGACCATTTCATGGACACCACGCATTCAAAGGAACGTGATGTGATGTGTTTGATGAGCGGCTGACCCAACAAGGAGTTGTTGCCAGACGGCAAGCGAGGTTCTTGGGCAAATCCCAGCAAGCACTCACCTCCTAAACCCGGAATACGTCATAAGATGGTCAGATGTCAAGCCAAGCAAGCTGTCTTGCCATGCTCGGCCACATAGCCCATGAAATCTTGCGGGCCAAAATGCAAAGGACATGAGGAAAATTTACTATACCTGGAATCTTCCAACAGTGCTAAATTCATACCGCATGCCTTTTGGCTGGTTTTCTAGATGAGCAGGCATACTTTTTGCACTGTTGGCATATCTAGGAATGAAGATGGGCCTTTTGGTGGAAAACGTATACTGGAAGAGAGGGCGAATGATGTGAACTGGAAGGCTTCAGATGTGACCCAAGCAAGGACTCCACTCCCGTTGGAAGATTGCTACAGCTCCAGACCTGTCATAGACCTCGACCTGTTGCTGTACCTGTCGGCACCTTCGCAGCTCGCCAGCCAGCTGGAACGAAGGCCTGGAATGGCCAGCTGATCCTGCAACCACTGGAAGCGCCGCCACCAAGGTGGGGCAGTTGGTCAACGGCGCGGAGTTCATGGCGCAGACGGGACATGCCAACAGAGGTTGAAGAGCCCCAGAAGACTATCCCTATAGGGTTCTTCAACCATAGTCATTAACCTATATAGGTTCTATAGTAGGGTTCCAACCATAGTCATTTGGTTCGATAGGGCTAGTGACCCTATCTCCCATAGGAAGCCCAGTGGTGGTCATTTAACCCCTCTTGTTGCTACATGGTGGATGAGATCGACCACGCCGAAAACGGGCTTTCTGAGCCGAAGGTGGGGGGGTCTTGCACTGCGTGGAGAGGTCCGTAGAAGTTTGGAGAAGGAGCGGAAGGAGACCTGTTTACGGTAGGGTAGTCTATTGGACACCCAGAATGGATGATCCTGCTATGTCATGTTTCTCAGTGTGGAAGGTGATCAGAGATGACCAGAGAATCATTTTGACCGGGTGACATGTGTATTCACCGAAGTGGTGCATGATCCAAGACTCATCCGACACCACATGAGCGAGGAAAAGGTGTTGGAAAGGACCGCCCTGCCATTTGGGTAGATCCCCAAAAGCCTTTCGCATGTGTTCAGGAAATGGGAGACAGATGTGAAGTTGGCACAACCAAATCAATTCTTTCTATACATGATTAGTACTATGTCCAATCCCCAAGTCTTTGTCGCAAAAAACTCTGAACTCATCATCTGGGCCTGTTTGCCATTCGGCTGGCTTTTTTCAGCCATGTAGAAGAAACACTTCTCTCACAATCGATCACACCTCAAGTCCGTTTTGCTTCATTTGGGAGTACTTGCCAGGTAGCCGTTCCCCCCAGGAGCCTTCAGGCGGTTTCGGCCGCTTCGCTCCCCGGCGCGGCGCCGTTTCCAGGCGCGGAGGCGACTCGAGGACGGCGACGACGACGAGGAGGGAGAAGAGGATTCCGACGAGGACCGGTGCACCGGGCGCGCGCGCGCGCCTTCGCAGTGTTCGCAGCCGGGTGCGGTGCCGAAGTCAGTTGGCTCGTGCAGCAAATGGGTGAGTGGGGGGAGAGCCTCACGGGTGCCGATGGTCACACATGGTCACCTGGACTGAACCAGATCAATATAATGTATAGACCCCCAAGCAAGCTGGCATGTTGTGGTTTTTGCATGCTACAGTAAAACATGTTTAAGCTTATTAGGATATCTGGGATATTGGAATATTCTTGGATGATCTATGAAATCAGTTTTCTTAGGAATATGTTTTGTTATCATGTGCAACCATTATGGAATAATAAACTGACCTTACAAATTCAGGATGTGAATGAGTTCAGGCATATTATTGTGTGAGTAGACCATGGCTGGCAGCCCTTAAGGCCGGCCAGCGCGTGACCACCTTCGCTCCAGTCACCGTTGAACTGGTGTCAGGGTGCATGCGGGGTGGGCACATGTGGGAACCCACACACACATATTGAATCCATGTGCAACCATGGCAGAATATCTCCTAAAATATTCCAGGGGGTTTGCATGGGGGGGGTATCCAACGTACCCCCCTCATGTGGAAATCATTGGATCATGGAAGTGGAACACCTGTTTGTGGAGGACAATAGTCATTTCAGGCGCCATGCCATCCACGTACCCATGATGATTTCAGGGAGTTTATACTTCTCATTCGAAGCCAAGGGCTCTTGAGGGCACTTGTGTCCAGCCTTTCACAGAGGAGGCGCCCCCCATCGCTGTGACGCCTCTTCACCCATCGTTGGAGCAACTTCCACAGCTCCCCCTCTTCGTCGACAGCGCTGTTGATTCGTCGTTGGCCAAGTAAACGATTCTCCTTTTGTCCGACCCGAAGACACACCTTTCCGGCCCGAAGACTTTCCCGACGCCCAACTGACCGCCGTTCCTGACCGCCCCACCGCCCGCCCGACCGACGCCGGGCGACCGAGTCGAAGGGGCGACGTCGGAGCGAGTCGACGTCGGAGGAGGATGAAGGCGATGACCAGGATGCCATTGTCTCGTTGGACCGGAGTGATGACAAGGCAGATCTGACCTGGTGACCTGGCCATCGCATGTGTTGACCGACATGGCGCAAAAAGCGTGTGTGCATGTCCCAATGTGGCTGCGGTGAGTGTTTTTTGGGGGGATCGATGGGTGAACACAGGGTCACTATGTATAATTCAGGAGTTAGGCAGCATTTTCTTGCGGGTGGCTGAGTCCTTTGAACACCATGATGAAGAAAGCTTTGGTCCAAACTTTGAGGGGGACAGGAGCGTTCATGATCCATGGACATTGTGCCTTTTCTGTATACTTCAAAATTACATTAAAACCTAACCTCCCAACATGGGACTTCTCTCTTTCACATCAACCCCATCCCTTTTTGACCTTCCCTAAACCCGCGAGACTTCTCTCCTCTCATCTTCTCTCTCCTTTCCGCCTCTTCTCCGCTTCGTTGCTCTGCGCCAGGTGTGTTTCGACTTCCGCCTGGGGGAGCTTCCGCGTGGCGTGGAGCACGAAGGGGAGCCCGCACGGCTCATCCGCACCGCTGACTCAGGAGACCTAGGAGAGTGCTTCGGATTTTTTTGGGGAGGCTGGAGACCCATGCTGAACGCATGTACTTTTTTGTATTATGTATAGATAGTGAAACATCTATATCATGAACTATTATATATATAGTTATATGTATGCTAGTCCCCCCTTAGATCCACCTTTGATGCTCTTTCCAAGACATACATGATAAACTCTCCTTGTAGTGCAGCTTTGTTTGACAAAAGTTAAGTATCTTGAAACGTGTGTTCTTTTGAGTCAACATATGTCAAGAAAACTACGCTGCCAGGAGGGTACTGTTAACATTTGCCAAGAAAACTGCACTGCCAGTAGGGCACTCTGTTAACATGTGTCAACAAAAATACTCTGCGAGGAGGGCACTTTGTTAACATTTGTCAAGAAAACTAAGCTGCCAGGAGCGCACTCTGTAGAAGATTCTGCACTTTGTGAACAATTCTTGTAGGAAAAGCACCAAAACACTCAAACATTTAATAAGATACATATTTTCAAAAGTTTGTCCTCTGTGGGAGGGTTCAGTCAAGACGCTCATAAATATGTGTGTTTATGTTTTCTCAAGGTGTTTTTGGTTTTGCCCCATGGCGGCCCCTTCTGAAGAGCGGCCCCTTCATAAAAGGTGTGATTTTTTAAGTGGCAGCCCGCCCTCCATATCTGACATTGCACATAAATATACACTGCGCAAAATTCATGAAAACACACATATCTGGGATACCTACTTTCCCAGAGATCCAGAGGAACGCCATTTAAATGAAAGCTGTCAAACAAAGCTTTCAAAGCTTTTCAACATAGAAGTGATCAGTCCCAGAGATCTAGAGGTAAGTTTTAGAGTTCCTCATGGTCCCTTCCGTAAGGGTATTACTTTCGAAGCGTTTTTTTGTCGATGGCTCCCCCCAAGCACGTGCACAGTCTGGCTCTGGCAGGAGGAGTCTGGGAGAGCCTGACGTTTGTTGGATCTGAGATAGTCAGCACTGTTGCTCCTGCTAGCTTTACACCCCCTGCAATAATCATGGAAGTGGAAAATGCGGCATGACCGGCCCGACCTACCATCATCCTATCTGGTTTTTCATATCTCCCAAACACAGTGCAAGCACGGCGAGATTCGCCTGGACAGCGCTAGGATCTCTTTGGGAAATATCCTTCTGAGAAGGCCGCTTCCGCACTCCGCTGGGTCAACAGAGGTTTTCCCTTCCCTCAGTCAGATGGCTTTGTAGCTGACCAGCCATCTTTTTGGAGATTCGCCAGATTCGACTTCCGGCCTCTCTCCATCTCCCGTTCGCCTTCCGAGGAGAAGGAAAATACCACGAAAAAACAAGAGAGCGGGCAGTTGTGGCAGTGCGCTTTTATAGCGCATTTGCATAGGTTCTGATAGTTTGACCATTCTTGGTGGTAGTTGGTGATCCAAAAGAGGCCACTCAGGCTCTAGACACTAGGTAGTTATATATCGATCTATGCACAGGATTTGCTAGATATTGGAACAAGAATTGGAAGCTATTTTGGGGGGGTGGTTGCAGGAGTTGGTCAAACCAGGGACCATCGATTGGAGTCTTGTTGATTTAGCAAAAGAAGTGATTAAGGAGGGGTTCTTGTCCTTGCCACTTTGGGATGAAGCTCTTCCAAGTAGTTTCTGCGACGATACCATACCTAGAACCTGAGTAACCTTGACTTTGGATCACCAACTACTCAAAAGATGGTTAAATTTCCCATCAACACAGGGGGTCATGTCTGGGTTCTAGGTCTAGTAGTTTCTTGTTACTAGTAGCGATGGCCTCCAACCTATTAGCGATGGCCTCCACCTAGTGGCGTCCTTGCTACTAGTAGCGATGCCCTTGAGTTTTCTCCCAAACTAGACCGTGGCTCGCGGGTTCATGTGCACCAGATGTGGGATCAGCCGCAGGAGATGCGACCGTCCTGTCTGTGCCTGCTGGAGGGTACATCAAACTGCCCTTAGATTTCCAGGATCCTTGGATGTTTCAGTGGCGATGGGCTGATTTGCCAGCGGTACTTCGTACATCTTGATCTTTATGTGACAGGTCCTGCCAGGTTCAGACAGACCTCACTTCCCTGACAGATCATTGAAACGAAGAGTGATCGGTGAGCATCTCCGTCGACGATCTTGCCATCGACCTGACCCGGTCCTCATGCCATAGAGCATAATAGACCCAAGTCTTATGCTACTAAGCCATCAAGGACCTGGTTTTCCCTAGCAAAGCACATGGTATCACATGGTAACATGGTATGTGAACACCTCTATGACTCTATGGGCCCTCACGGGCAACTGGATCGACACCTTCCAATGATGCTTCGCACAACCAGGAGAAGCATGGTGCAACGGTCACCCAGTACACACTGGTGGTGGAGTCGCTCGGAACAACAGGGCAAAAAACCTGGGAACCGGCGCGGCGCGGACTGGTAGGTGTTTAAAGAAACCCATCCTTCTTGGTAGCTGACTTGAAATGCTAAGACAAAAGACAAACACTTCCTTCTCAGTGGAGTCATGGTTGCATCTTGGGGGCGTGTTCACCATGTTCCCAGAGACCGAACATGGGATGGGACTGAGACGATGACGACTTCATCGGAGCTGGTGTCATCGGCTGGTGCCAGTAGTGGTACATTCAACATTGCATATTTGTTGGTTTCCAAAACCGTTGCCAAACCCTTCAGCGATGTCCATGTGACCTCCCTGTTTTCATGCCCGGTTTTCATGCCAGGTTCACAGGGGTCTCCCCTCCATTTCCCCGATGGCACGCAGCGCATCCTCAGCGCATCCGCAGAGCACACAGCGCATCCTGGGAGGTTGCGCTGCAGTCATCCGCGGCCTTTGTCGCTCTTCCAAGCGACCTGGCCCGAGGTCTCAGCCCCTCGGCCTTGCGAATCCATTCCCAATGTCTCCCCCCTCGGCCGCGCGTTGCAACGCCGTTCGTTTCAGTGGAGGGGACGGTGTCTCCGCGCGGGAGCGCTGAGCTGCGCTGCCGCACGGGAGAGGATCCGGTGCTGGGAGGGGAAGTGGTGCAAAGTGAGCAATGTTGGAGCTTTGATTTTTCTTTGTGTCAGGTTCCAGTAGCTTTGATGTTCCATAGACTAGCAATCTGAAGGCAGGAACATGCTCTTGGAATTTCGCTCAAGAGCCGAGTGGAGTCAAGATCGATTCTTCATTTGATACGCCGATGGGACTGTTCGAAGGGACCAACTCACGGGTTCTTTCCCCCCTGAGCCCTAAGCCACCTTCATGCGGAATACAGCAACAAATATATCGTTTGAAAGTCCTAGAAAGGCCTGTAACCAGGCCCCATCACCATCCGCTGGGCCCTGGTAATAGGATGGACCCAACGTTAAAGCGTTCTTCACCATGGTCCAATTCAACGTTGAGCTCACACGACTCGTTTCAGAAAGGGCAGTAATTTGGATGCCCGGCGACGCCCGGCGACGCCTGGCGCGCTAAGGCTGCCCCCAGGCTTTGTCAAAGACATTCCATGAAAGAGATGCCGCTCAATTCAACCACCCAAATGCTTTTGTGTAAGAAAAACTAGCAGTGAAGTCATACCTGAAATGATTGCCTACAAAACATATTGGATGGTTTTATGAAGTTGGCATTCTTCCACATCAATCCTCTCCGCCGCCCGCAGCCTTCAGCCTTCCTGCGACACACCAAAATCCCATCCTACTCGTGGCACATGCGACGAAGCCGCGACGTCTAAGGTGAACCATGCCACCATCTCCGAATGCATCCTGGACGACGGCCGTATCCTGGTTGGAGGCGCCGAGAGTGACCTCCTACGAGCTTTGAGTGCCGCGCGCGACTTGGAGCGAGTTTGAACCGGTTTAGTTAGAGCATTGGTTGGGTGGGACTCGGCTTAGCCCGCGTTGCGGTGCACACGTTTGAAACCCACGAAGTGACGACTTGGCACCGGCACGTTACGAGCCGGGGGTGCTGGTTTTTGTCAGCTTTTTTTTGAAGGGTTGGGGCAAGTCGTTTGAGGTCTGCTTGGAGTTTCCAAGCTCGTGTGAAAAGCGGGTGGAGACTCCAGACCGGTCGCTCTCCACGACGACCGGCGACATGACGGTGACCGAGACGGAGACGATGCGTGTACCTCCTCGCGACCATTCTGAGATCTCAATCACCTGTCGGGGTGATTCATGGATACCCCTTAACCTCCTGGAATAGGTACATTGTTATTGGGATCTTTGGGGTTTAGGCGCCTCAGTCCAAGTGTTCCTGGATACGATTTTGTTTGAAGTGGAAGGAAGGACACCGGGACCATGCATGTAGGATTCCCCACCCATACTCGCAGACACACTCGAACCAAGTCACTGCAAGGACAGCAAAATCGTTTCATCCGCATTTTCTTCGTCTGCGACGCGAAGGAGGGGCAGATCACGGTCTACGTGAATCTCAGCTGCAAGATTTAAGGTTCATGAGCCATCAGTGCTGTTCTGACCAAATCGAAGTTTGAGCATTTCGTGGACTGCGGAGAACAACTCTTACAGGTAAACAACTGTCTGCGGCTAACCTGGACCACATCCTGTTCTGCTTGCATTCAACGACATTATCAGAACCCACAGCGAATCCAGTACTGGTGTAGAATGAAATCCGGCACTGGAATATACACTATACCACACGTAAATAGTGGGATCATTGGCGATGATTCCACAAAATCCCCCGTGCAGGATTTCCTCGTTCAGCCGTGTTCAGAGCTTTGGACATGTTCTTTCATTTTTTGCACCAGAGAAATGACCCAATGCCTTCTTCGTGTTTCACCATACCCAGTCACAACATGTGAGGATTGGACAAAATCGTTTGGGTCGCCGCCACCCCCACCCCCCCGATGAAGTTCAGAATGGAAGGGGGCGGACGTCTCCCCTGAGCATCCCCCAGGTTCCTTGGTCGTCAGAGAAAATCTCATGTCACGATTGAAAAGCTGCTTGTCACCCACCATTTCCTGGTTTAAGCTTAAGGTGATTTACACTCCCTGGAACTAACATGGAAGTGGAGAAAGACCCCGAAAGGAAGACCATGAAATCCACTACAAACAGGTGGTTTTCCACTTCCATGTAGGGAGAGTATATTTTTTCCCTATGGAAAGACTCCCCAAACCCGGGGGGTTAATATTGTGTCCCGGCTTTTTGGACACATCCACCGAGCTGCTCACCCTTCTTTCTGACATCCCAGAAACCACAACGTGTGAGGACTGCTGCTCGACCGCTCAAACACTTCCCGACAGGTCCAGTCTGACCCAGCTCCACCTGAACACCTCATGGTTCGCAACGTGTTTTTTGCATGATCAACTCCATTCAACTGAGGTCAGGTCCTGATCCCCAATTTTGGGGCCTAGCGGCCTCACCTCCCCGCAACCTCCCCAACTCCCATCAGATTCCAAGTCCGCTTTCCAACGCTTCTTGGCAGTTCAGGAACCAGGACCTGGCACTGGAGCTGGGCAACGTCTCGGGCTCCCGCTGGGCACTGGATCGGCAGCTGGGCGATGGCGGATCGTCTCGCGTCGGTGGCAGCGCGTCGGTTTCCTTCCAGAAAAGACGAGGTTTCAACATGGTTTCAACATGGATGGAGAAGCGTGTTTGGATGGGCATGGAGAAGCTGACCATGTACACTAGCCCTATAGGGATCCAGGTAAGTACCAAACCTCAGGATCCAGGTATATATACTTTCCCTGACCCAACTGGCTGGCACCTACATCACAGTGTCGAAAACATCACCGTACCTGAGATGGTTTTAGAATGGTTTAGACCATCCTGTCTGGGTGTGGCTGGAGATACCGGATAGCGGTGGGCTGCCTACCCAGCGAGGATAGAGACCCTAGGGATCCAAGTGCCTTGTCAGAAGGTGATTGGAGACACTGCTATGTAGGTTTGGAGGGTTCAAGTACCTTCTGAGACGGCTTGGATCCCTAGGGAGAGTGGTTTTAGAGTGGCACCAACGGTCCAACTGGACGGGTTCCGGGAACATGCCGAACATGTGGAAAACCCTGACCGGGAAGAGGACTGAAAGAACATGCCCAGAAGTGCATTCGTGGTCATCCATGTTTCGTTGGAGGTAGGTCAAAGATTCAATGGACACAGGTTTGATTGTTGTACTTTTGAGGGATTCAATGGGGATCCAAATCTCAAGGTGATTGTTCATGAGACGGTTCAGGTGCCTTGTGGGAATGCACATCGAATCAATTGCAAGAGGTACACATAGGACATCTACACTTGACTGTCTTCAGGCATACTCTGAGACCCATAGTCCTCTTGGTTTAGAAGGGATTTCTTTCCAAGCCAATATAAAGGCTAAGGTGTTAGCAAATTACCTACGGGCAGCCAAATACAGGTTCTTCGTCTTCTGTTTTCTATTATTACAAGGGGCACGGCCGCAGACATTCCAGAAGGGGTGGCGTGTGCGGAGGTCTCTTTAGGAGGGGGCTATGCTGAGCTTGTGCAGTTTTTCCAAAATTTCTGAAACGTCAATCCAAGGAAAGGCTTGCTCCTCTTGGCAAGCAACAGCCGCTTGTTGGAGTGAGAGAAACCGCTGGGCGGTGGTCCGTCAAGCATGGCTTAAAGCGTAAAGCGATCGCTTCCACCAGCGCAGCCACTGCAGCCAGTCCTTTTTGTTGGGTGACCAAACCTCGCACACCAAGGAGTTGAGTGAAACTCTATTGGTGCCACACCTCTTGGTGCCACACCTCTTGGGTCAAGCATGGACAAGCGGAAGTGACTGTGGGTTGTCCTCGTTCGCTGCTCCATTGCTTTTCGGGGTCGATGGGGCTTGTTTTCCACGGGGTAACCCGGACGTCTCGGGTCAGGGCTTTCGATTTTACACCATTCACTTCTTAGGGTTCAAAGGCGTAAAGAGCGCTGAACCATGATTTGCGACCATTTCCGGCAGCCTTGATTCCAAGAAGCCCGAAAACCGAGACCTTGTCTTCAGATCCTCCGTCAGGTGCCTCGTACATGCCTGGACTCGAGCTGAAACGCGTGGAACTTCATCGACGCTTGATGCACGCGCAGGCCGATCTGCCTTGGACCGGGTTGACCGGGTCTCCTGATCTTCCGAGTTCAGCTCCAGGTTCCTAGCTGAACTGCACTGGGCATTAAGCATGTTTGGCATGGCCGAAAGGTATGTGTGAGGCATGGCATGGTCCAAAAAGCTTCCATATCTGACGATATATATAGAAGGTTAAAGGCAACCATCTGATTTGACGCGCTGTTGCAGACCAACGACGTCCCAGCGTGGTTTTTACTTTCATGCTTCAAGAATCATACTCTTTTTCACCACTCACTGACTCACAATCTCTCTGCACCGCACGTGCGTTCACGGCCTGGCCCGGCCTTTCCTCACAGCCCCCCTCCAGCCTGCAGGACGTGAAGGCCCATGCCTCCCAGCGCTGGTCCTTCCGCGGCGCCGCGCTCTCCGCGGCGCTGCGGAAGCTGCGGGGGAAGCTGTCGCTGTCGGTGCTGGACAAGAAGCCGCGCCTCAGCGGGTTCGACCGACCGGCCACGGAGGGCGGGCGCCAGGACCGGAGTGATGTGACTGACGGTTTTGGTAGAAGCGAGATGGCTGTGGGTCCGGGTCTCAACCCACTGAAAATGGACTGCAGGTCAAGCTACCAGGGTGCTACCAGGGTTCGGGTGCGGGTGCGTTCTTGGGAGCAACCCCACATCCGTTCATGGTCTTTCTCCACTGCAGATTCGGCAGTCACACACTTCGAAGCCAGCGGTTTCTGAACGTCAAAAGAAATTTAGCATCTTGTGCCTTCTCTGGGTGATCTGGAAACAAAGCCCTTAGTCCTCCTATCCTGTTGTTTGCCTTCTGTATTCTATGCATGAAGCATCTGTGATTCCCTGCTGACATTGGTACAAGAAGTTGTGAGTGACATTGTGTCATGGTAAAGACCACAGAACCCTTGTGACCAACCATCCAGCACCGCACTCACAGGGCTTTCTGGTCACCCGGCCGGTGCGAAGCGGTAGTTCCAGCTCTTCCAGAGTCTCTTCCAGAGTCTCTTCCAGTATCATATCCAGTCCGGGGGCCCTTCGGCCTTTCGCAGGTCGCTGTCAGGTTTACCATCGAGGCTGTTCAAGGCAACCATTTTGATATAGTTGGCAGGTGAACCAGGGTTTCCTGTAGATTCTCCCTTAAACCATCTTAAACCCATTCATTGAATTGCAGCCTGCGGTCACCGCGGTGGCCCGCGGTTTTTTGAGGCAGCCGATCTGGTGCGATCTGTCGCCACTTGGGATGGAGAAGCGTGTTTGGATGGGCATGGAGAAGCTGACCATGTACACTAGCCCTATAGGGATCCAGGTAAGTACCAAACCTCAGGATCCAGGTATATATACTTTCCTGGACCCAACTGGCTGGCACCTACAGAACCGTGTCGAACACATCACTGTACCTGAGAAGGTACGACTGGATCCCAACAATAGGGACTATACACTCCCAGCCGCCCAGGTCCAGGTACCTCCTTTTCAGAAGGTCACAGAGAGAACGGAAAGATACGGAAAGTACGTCAACTCGGAGGGTTCTGGACCGGTTCACGTACTGACTCTTCGCCCATCGATCAGCACCCGCACTGACAGGTCGGTCTCACTGGTGGCTGAAACCGCCTCCCTGGAGCGACCAAAAAGGGGTGACCGTCAAACAATTTGGCCCCCCAAAAATCGGAGGTGGATGCATCGATGTTTTCTTCTACCAGATGCCCAGAGGTCGCCTGCGAGCCGAGCCCAGAGGTTTTTGGCCCACTTCTGCGACGTCTTCATGAACATCAACAATGGAAGCATCTATCGTTCTCTACAGGTGCAACCGATGGAATCCCGCGCGCATGCGACCAAACTCCGTTTTGCTGGTATGTTCTTTTTCCCGCCAGCGGAGTGGTCAAGGGCGGGCGTTTGCAGGGTGGTGCAGTGTGTGGAGTTGAGCACCGCTGAGAACCACCACAAAACCAGCCATGATCTCGTAAACTTATCTAGTCAGTGTCAGAAGGAACAAAAAGGATCTAACATGTATCAAACAGTTAACACTGCATACTTCCGAATGTAGAGTCCCGGCCTGCTGATTGAGCAATATTGAGCACATGGGTATGTTCCTGTTGACCGCTCTTCTTCATCTGAGAAGAGACTTCTTGCTCCCCCACGATGCGAAAGAAGAAACAGGCCCCCCCCCGCCCCTCCGCAGGTCTCCGGATGAAGCTCCCCCCCAGCATGGAGACGGTTAGGTCCCAGCACTGAAGCTCCGTTGCGGGTGCTCCGGATCCGCAACGACGACGGCGGTTGGAGGTCGTCCACTTGGGTTTGCAGCAGCTGATCGGCGAGAAGAACCCACTGATGACCAGTGATGATCAGGACGGGCGAAACGGGCGACAAGGGCGACACGGGCTAGCAGAGAAGCTTAGATGGGAAGAAGTCGTCTGGCGGAAGTCGGGGGAAGGTCAACCCTGAGATTGAAGGGCCCCAATTGAACGTACTCTTATCAGGAGGAAGAGGTTGTTCGTCTTCGACCTGTTGTCTCCAACACAGCACAAATCCATCCTATCTTCGACCATCGATCCCCAAAAAACCGCAGGGGTTCTTCTCCCTCCTCTCCCGTCGACCTTCGCAGGCGGCGACGAAGAAGACAATGGAGATCTTCGAAGCAGGCGCCTTTCTCCAAACGTTCGACCTCCAGGCGATGCACGTTGAAGGACCCGAATAGACTCTAGACTATGCCGATACTCCAGGTTACGGGTCCTATAAGGTCACAAAACAGCCTCTCTGGTCATGGGATTGGCATATTGAATCATACTGTATTGATCTAAATGGATTAAATGGATCCCAGGTCAGCAACCCTAAAGAAATAGTGCAACTACCTGGAGTCGTCCTGTTCGTACCTTGGGAAAAGGGTGCAATTGAAGCATACCTATATTTTATTCCAACTATTATGCAAAGGTTCTGCCAACCTTAGCTGGTTTGGTTTGATTAAGTTCGACAGAAGTTGTTGCACAACTTGGAAGATCCGGGTATAGCGAAGTTGCAATGCCATGCCCTTTCATCTAAACAAACAGCCAAACAATGGCAGACATGTTGCATAGTTGGAAGATCTATAATTACCTGGACCCTCCTGTCGGGGTGTCTAATGGACTACCCCACACTACCTATCGGCTTCCAGACAGGGCACCCCTTGGAGGGTCCTGGTAGGTATAAAACAGAGTCCCATTTTCACTCCGCCGTACTTCGTGATTTCACGCCAGCGCTTCATCCCATTTCTGGCACGACTCGTAGTGCTGGTCGCATGGACGGAGGAGTCGGAGTAGATCGGACCCGAGAAAAAGTGTTGAAAGGAGAATCTGGTGCCACAGGTCCTGAGGGGGGTCAAGTGGCTACGTTCGTAGCGTCCTTGTTCCTCTTATATAGCGGCCTGGCCTCCAACCCTTTTTTCATAGCACGCGATGGTCGATTCGCCGTGCGTCGCGTCCGAACGCGACCAATTGGGTGGGCAGGGCACCAGCAGTTTGGGAGGTTCGTGATGCTTTCAAGTTGGAAGGTGCCAGACTGTCGGGACGACGGCCGTCCAGATGCCAACTTCATGACCCAAAGAACAGTCCGCACAACAGGCGACTCGCCCAAAGATTCACCATAAATTGAACCGTCCGACCGGAAGATCCTCCGAACCGATGATGGCCCGATATGGCCCGCTCGTCCCACTCTGCGGGACCCAGATTCTGCGGAGTACTCCACGTCATGAAAGACCACCCGAAGCGTTCACATTTGAAGGTAGAAGCTACTAGGAACAAGGGCATCGCTACGAACGGAGTGGCATCACTACTAGGAGCAAGGGACGCTACTAGTACTGTAGCTCCTGGCCTTACTAAGCACCGGGCTGAAATCAGCCGAACTCCTCCATCGCGTGACACACGGCCCTGAATAGGGGACCCAGTGTGGGAACCGCTTGCCCAGCACGTGCCCAGCACGATGGTAAGGTTTGGACCTCTTCCGGAAGTATGATCGAACCAAAGGAGAGGCGGCTTACTGGGGAATTTTCATGGGGCATTGCAATGGGATGCGGGGCTTTGGTATGGGCCGGTGGGTCTAAGATCCTGATGTTTTGGGAGTTGGGGCCTACTTAGGAGATACCTGGATCTTCCATGGAGACTAGTAGAGACTAGTAGATGATTCCATGGATGCTGGTACCTTAGATCTTCCATGGATACCTGGATCCTTATACTTAAGTTGGAGACTAGACTTGATGATTTGGGGCACACAATGTCCACGGCCGCAAGAGGTTATCGGAGCTCCAACCTACGCTAGCGATGGCCTGCAACCTACGGCCCAGTTGATTGGTTGGACTGTCCTTAGGGCTCCAAGTACCTCCCCAGAAGATATTTGGACCCTCCTGGAACCCACCCCAGTCCGTTCTTAGAAGGTCCTTGGAGCCCTAGGGAAAGGCATGAATGTTCAACCAGGACAGTTGGACTCTTGGACTTTCAGACTCCCAACACCAAGGTCCACCGTGACTTTCAGGAAAGGACCACCTACCTACCTCCCGGATCGTCCACTCCACACCGTCACCATTCCCGGTCGGTCCGGTCGTAAGTAACTAGCTCTATCGTCCACTCCGCCAGGTGGATCCTTATGATGACTATGCCGAGATGCCTGGACTTCTGCCCTTCTTGAAGAGGCCGGCCATATGGGAGCCGATTCGGCCGATGCCGCGGCACCGGGACCGGGAGCTGAACGGTGAAACACTGGGACACCGTGGACCTGTGAGCTGGACCCAAGCTGTGACCACGTGCACGGTACCGATGCAAGAGCCCAGCTCGCCTCCCAGTGAATCAGCTCAAAAGTCCGAAAACACATGGTCTCATTCTGAAACCCGAAGGATCTCCAGAAACCTGAAGCATCTCCTGAAGTCTTTGGTCCAACCCTTAGGGCTTCGCAGGATGCGAAACGCATCACACGTCTCGACCGCGACCGTCCTCGTGGCATTGGGGGCCCTCGCGCAGGCTCCGTCGTGCCTTGAACAGCCTGAAGGTGGGTGACATGGCGCTACTGCCGGGCGGCTGGGGCTGTGGCGATTTCATGGCGCGGCAATATATCAGCTTCGCTCCTTGGATCCCAACAATCCTTAAGGGCCAGGTGCCTGAGATTTCATGGCGATAGAAGAATGGAAAGAAGAGGAGGATGAAGGACGCTGCCCATGAAAGACACCAAGAAAAAGGGGACTGCCAAGAGATGGCCACGGGGTGGTTTGGCGGGGTCAATTGATCGGCATACCTATAGATCTTCCAGCACTGCAACAGTTATGCCAAGGCTGGTTTTCTAGATGAAGTTCGGCATGTAAAACTGTCGCACAACAGTTGGAAGATCGATCTGGGTCGGTTTTTTGCCAGGTCGAGACATGTTGAGACACCCGAACCACAGGAGGGAGGTCCATGTAGGCCTAGGACTGGGCCGGAGGAAGGCGTGGCGTCTTTTTCTGCGGCCACAGGCCTTTGTTCATATTAGTGATTAAGTCATTTTCCCTGGTAGGTATGCAGCTATAGGAGGATGTTGATTCACACATCAAGTGGTGTTTATCGAACATAAAAGCCAACCAAATGTTTCGTGGGTTCCTAAGAAAAAGAACGGTTCTGCATGCCGTTCAAACGATCATTTGAGAAGGTTCCTGCTTGACAATGGAGATCCTTTACATGCATATTTTTTTAGCAAAAGCATCCACTTGTTTCTGGTTGTTTGGGTTTCCAGGCCGCTCCAATCGGGTGTGCCCTTTTTGTAACGATTTCGGAATGAACCGCAAGAGTTGAGAATTCCGTGCCTTTTCTCAGATTTCGGTTCCGACACGTGCGGTTTTATCATGTCGTTCTGGCCAGATTGGATATGTCGTCATATCACTTTTCTTTCATATCCATGTCCCGGAAATCGCTATTTAGTGGATTGGGGCAGTGACTGTAACTGACGTACTTGCATCCTACTTAAAGACAGGACTGCACTACTGCATGGGTCAGTGACTGTCATTGTAACACATAAAAATTAATTCCTTTTGGCGTCGGCCTAAAGGAACATTCCCGGACATGTTATGCAAAACAATGGGTGCAGTTAGTCAAATTATCCTTGGAATAGTTAGAAGTTGGAAGCCTTAGACGAGGATTTTGCCTGGAAGAACCAGACCTTGTCAAATGCTTGTTTTGTTTGCAGCATTGTCAGCTTTTGAAGACCTTGTCTGAAGTACCTCAGCCTCGGGTTTTCCTCAACGAGAAGAGGACGTTTCCATCATCCCCAGACAACCCCAAGCAGCCCATCTTGGGTTTTCGACACTTGGTGATCGCCCCTGGCTAGCCGTTGGTGCACCCGAGCCGTTGCTCCAAGACAGACCCGACCAGACGAGACCCGTTGACCCGAGCCGCTGACCGAGGTCCTGGTCCCTTGGATGTTCGGTTCGTGTGGGCAAGGGGGGGCCCACAAAGGACGGGCCCAGCAGAACCGACTCCAGTCGTGCCGTCTCAGGTATGTGGATTGATATACCCTACACATTCTACCGAACCTGAGGTCAGGTTCGGTACTTTCCTGGGCCCGAGTGGCTGGCACCTACATAACAGCGTCGAACACTCCACCGTACCTGAGAAGGTACTTGGATTTTGTAAGGAAAGCCTTCAAGGGTTCCTACATTCAAGCACTTTTGGACCACTTTTCGAGCTCTGAGGGAACCCTTGTACTTGGGCACTCTAGGAAGCCTTAGTCGGGCTCAAGCATCTTCTTGAGGGTTCAGTGGATTTGTCCCGCATCTGCAAGACTCTGCAAGATTCTGCAAGGCAGCATCTCAGAACGCCCCCCATGGCCAAGTGATTGATTTTTCGCTGCTTTCGACGTGGCCATTCGACAGGCAGCGATGGCATGGGTCCCGGTCAGGAAAACCTTGGCAGTTCTTCTTGACCACGGAAAACCGGGGAGGTAGCCATGCGCACATGCACGTTCGCGATGAGACCTGTGGTGGTGGATTATGGCACCTGGAGACTGGAGACCATGTCTGGTAGGTTGACCAGACAGTCTGGGGGGCGTCTCTGTTCTTCCTGGCCACGTGGTCCACCAGGGTTGGCCGGTTTGGAGCCGCTATATAAGCATGTTTACCCCACCCTAAACCAGTTCCCAAGAACCCGCATCCAGGCAGGCAAAGCACGGTATCGCTGGGAGTCCTAGTGGTTCCAGTTCGACCAAAACATAGACCGAGCGAACCCCTGGTTCCTTATACAGTGGTAACTGGTAACTGGGATCCACTGGGTTAAAGGTGCCTTCACTACGGCCAAGTTCGCCGCTCCGTTTGCGCTGAATTTTTTTTGGGAAACACCTCTGCTTAGTTGTGGTTGAAGATGGGTTTAAGTTTGGGGTTCATCCCGCTTGATCACTTATCCTCTTGATCACCCCCCTCACCCCCCCTTCATCATCCCAGCAGGCAGCAGGCCTGATTGGAGGGTTCGTCCCTTGGGTGTGACCTCCCTTTCGAACCACCTCGCAGAATGAACCACCTCGTGCCAGGTTCATTTGGTTGCTGTTGGGCTCGGGTTTGGTATACGATCCAAACAAATTCACCAGGCATCGCAGGTGTTTCTTCAGATGGCGAGACTTCGGGACAGCCCACGTGACGTTTGAGCCATCCCCTTCGGCTTCCTGGCCCATTGATTTTTAAGAGCCGAAGAATCGTGAAGACATCCGAAGAAAATCCGAAGAACCATGATCTTACAGACAGTCTTGCGAAAGGATTGATTTTTGTCACTACCACACCAGGGCGTTCCCGGCCCATTGATCGGTTGATGACGGAAGCCTGAGATCATTGTTGCCCAGGAACGCGTGGGGGAGGACAACTATCGCATCGCGGTCTTCGGCTTCGGTGACAGCCGCGAATATCATCCGAAGTGACTCGGTGAGGTCTGCGACTTCCGTGCCCTTCGGAAGGGGAGAGAGTTCACGAAGTGCGGTGCCTTCACGAAGTGCGGTGCCCATTTTTTCCTGCCACATGGGGGGCCTCCCAAAGGGAGGTGAGGTGATGTTGAATCCAGATGATGTGTACCTAGCCTAGATCATGATCTTCCAACAGTGCAACATTTATAATATGCCTGTTCATCTAGAAAACCAGCCAAAAGGCATCAATTTTGCACTGTTGGAAGATCTATAGGTATACCGTACCTGTCATCATCCGGCGGACGAATGAGAGCAGAAGCGGAAATCTGCTCCGTTCACACGGATCCAGTCAGTTGAACCACTCAGATGCTCCGTGAGTTCACAGCTACCACTCCTGGTCCCGAGTCCCAAATCAGTCAACACCGAGATTTGGAGACGCTGGACCCGGTGCGATCCTTCTTTTTTGGAATGGGTCGCTGTTCTGGGAAGCCCAGACCGGGCCAGCTGTCCGCATCAACGGACACCGCACCGCACGTTGTGCACATCGGGCCCGTGAAGCAGAAAGGGTTCCAGGAAGCTTCGGGGGATGGAGGGGTGTAGAGACTTCAGGCCCTATGGCTCCAAGTTCCTCCTCAGGGTCGGTACGACTGGACCCTCTACCCCAGTCCCACCTTCGAAACGAGGTAGGGAGTGGTGTTTCAGAGATAGGTGTATCCAGGACATCCAGCCTTGGGATGGGTGTTTCAAAGGCTAAGCCTGGAATAGTCCTTGTTCCAGCCTTCGACTAACCAGATACTCACTAAGTGGGTGCAGAGAGGGAATCTCCCAGACATCCAGCCAGGGAGGGCTTCCAGCTATGTGTGCTGGAGAGCTGGAGAACCATGTTCCACTCTCCAACGGTCCCCCTGCAACGTCCAAGAACGCACAGCGTATGAACTACGCATCCAAGCAGAAGCAGTGACACCACCCCCACGCTCCACATCCGCATCCGCATCCGCTCGTAAGCGCTCTGCACGGCGAGGTCGGCACGGATGCCGCCGAAGGTGAAGTTCCGCCCCATCGTTTTGGAGAATCTGCCGCGACGCAAAGCCTTGGATGACGCCTGGTGGGCGCTCCTCATCGTCACTCGGAGCAGTTCTTCGCGGGATGTGGCGTGGCCGGGATGAAACAGGTCGTTCCAATAAGGCGCCGGCTTGGGATCCACATGGGGAGTGGCTAGGACTGGGGAGTTTCATCCAAGTCTTTGTGTGGTTGTTCCAGGTTTTCTCAGATTCTTTAGCCCCTGAAGAGAGGTGTCCCAGATGGTCTTTGTACTTATATAATTAGTGTTGTTGAGTGACGCACCATAGAAAAATGACCGTTTTGGAACTCTCATTGGTTCAATCTCCCCCAAAAATTATCGTCATTACCCATTGTCCAGAACAAGTCATTTGCATCGTTTCCGTGATGACCATCTTGTGCTTTGGAGAGAGACACACAGGGAGACACAGAGAGCCTGCTCGGCAGATCCGGTCGTTTCTTGGGATACTTCTGATTTTGGGCTTGCCGATATGAGTATGTATTTTAATAGGGGACCCCCTGGCCCAGTGGGTAGACTGGGAGGTCTCCCTATTTGGATACACGGCCATATCTTGATTCCCGACACGTGTTGAAACGTCACAGTACCTGTAATTACATAGTTCCAAAGGGGTGCTTAATGAGGTTAGGGGTGTGCATTATCCACTGATTTAGGGACTAAACACAATCCCTTTGTAGTCTGGGCTTGTCATGGGGCCCGCTTTATTGGGAGGTGTAGAACCCCTGTGTTTGACCCTCCAACCAGCATCCATTAGCATGGCAGGATGGAATCCAAGAGCCGCTAGGCAAGACAGCTTTCCTTTGATTGAAGTGTGTTTTGTATGTTGAAGTCGGAGTGATAAATTGAATTCCAAGTTATAGATGGCACACTACCCTGTGCACGACGTCTAGATGTGTCTCGATATGGATCGAAGTTCTATTCACCACCTTTTCCTTTTCTTCCCTCTAGTCTGAAAGAACTGCATTGGTTGAGAGCCCACCAACCAACACCACATGGTGACCGTTGTCTTTGCCTTTGGTTTGTCAGGCGTCTTTGTCCGGCGGTCTAGAGACCTTGCGTAGCTCAACCGAACTCGCTCGGCCGGGTCTTGATGCCATGAGACGCCTGGAGGTGTGAATGTCCTAAGCATCCAGCGTGACGTTCCAGGAAAAGAGCACAGATCAATCGCTTGCTTGGACACTCGTTGGGAGGCTGACGGAAAGTGAGGTCGAAAACGTTTTGTTGCTGGAGCTCAAGCATTCAGAAGAGAAGCTTCCTGAGGTATTGAAGTTCTTCAGTGAGCAGAAACGTGGTGATTTAGCTTTCGCTACTTTGGATGCAGTCCGGAAAGAGGGTAGTATCAAGCTGAAGGCATCCTATTACACACATGGAATTACAGCATGTGCCAGGGCGAAAAGAACACAACAAGCATTGAAGTTGTTTGATGCCATGCTTCAGGCCAAAGTTCAGCAAAATGTCTTCAGCTACAATGCCACCATCAGCGCATGTGAAAAGGGCGGACAATGGCAGCAAGCATTGAGCATGTTTGATGCCATGCACAAGGTGGAGGTTCGGCCTAATGTTATCAGCTGCAGCTCCACCATCAGCGCATGTGAGAAGGGCGCGCAGTGGCAGCAGGCATTGAAGTTGTTTGATGCTATGCCCGAGGCCAAAGTTCAGCCAAATGTCTTCAGCTACAATGCCACAATAAGTGCATGTGAGAAGGGCGGACAAAGCCAGCAAGCAATGAAGTTGATTGATGCCATGCCGCACGCAAGAGTTCAGCCGGATGTCATCAGCTACAACGCTGCCATCAGCGCATGTGAGAAGGGCGGGCAATGGCAGCAAGCATTGAAGTTCTTTGATGCTATGCCCCAGGCAAGAGTTCAGCCAGACGTCATCAGCTACAACGCCACCATCAGTGCCTGTGAGAAGGGCAGGCAATGGCAGCAAGCACTGAAGATGCTTGATGCCCTGCCCCAAACAAGAGTGGAGCCAGATGTCATCAGTTACAACGCCACCATCAGTGCATGCGAGAAGGGCGGGCAATGGCAGCAAGCCTTGAAGATGTTTGATGCGATGCACAAGGCAAAGGTGCAGCCAAATGTCTTTAGCTACAATGCGATGATCAGCGCATGTGAGAAAGGCGGACAATGGCAGCAAGCATTGACGTTCTTTGATGCTATGCCACAGGCAAAAGTTCAGCCAGATGTCATCAGCTACAATGCAACCATCAGTGCATGTGAGAAGGGTGAGCAATGGCAGCAAGCATTGAAGATGTTTGATGCGATGCACAAGGCAAAGGTTCATCCAAGTGTGTTCAGCTACAACTCCACCATCAGCGCATGTGAGAAGGGGGGGCAATGGCAGCAAGCACTGAAGATGTTTGATGCCCTGCCCCAAACAAGAGTGGAGCCAGATGTCATCAGTTACAACGCCACCATCAGTGCATGCGAGAAGGGCGGGCAATGGCAGCACGCATTGAAGATGTTTGATGCGATGCACAAGGCAAAGGTCCAGCCAAATGTCATCAGCTACAGCTCGACCATCAGCGCGTATGAGAAGGGGGGGCAATGGCAGCAAGCGTTGAACTTGTTTGATGCTATGCCCCAGGCAACGGTGCAGCCAAATGTCTTTAGCTACAGCTCTGCGATCAGTGCATGCGAAAAGGGCATGCAATGGCAGCAAGCATTGAGGATGTTGATGGCATGGAGGAGAAGAATATAATTTCAGACTTACAGTAGTTGAGTATATAATGCGTTGTTTCAAGTGCTGCAGTTCATTCTGGTGATCTTTCGGTAGGCATTTCTTTGTGGCGGCAGAGTTTATTCGAGTGCGGGAGTGGTGGAGCTTGCGGTTGTTTTCAACAGCCACTACTTAGACTCAGACCCCGGATCAGATAACATAGCAAGTCTGGAGCAGAGTTCATCGCCAGTGTCTGCTATGAACGCTGGTACTCTGCTCCAGACTTGCCATGTTGGTTTTGTCATGTCGTCGGCTTGGCCGGACGACGCTGAAAGAAGCGGTCGACACTGGAGAAATGGTTCACCACCGTGGAAGACAGCCGCGCAGATGTCGCGACCCAGGATGACCCTGAGATGGCTCGGCGACTTTGCCTCGAAAAAACCCAAGGTGGTTTCGGGTTCACTTACGTCAGGCGACCCTGCAGAAGTTGCTTTGAAAGCAAGTTCAATGCCTTCACTTTGGGCATCGACCGATGTTGGCTATAGGGCGACCGGCTGGTGGTGGTGCTGCAAAAAGACCTCTCATTCTGGATGGTAGCTAATCACTCCAGACTCCTGTGACTGTCCAGGCTGGTGCCTCTGGCTGGTGGTGTTAAGGGCCCCTTACAAACAGAGGAGCTAGCGAACGAATGGACATTCAGACAGAGCTTGCTAGATTTGCGTGTCAGTGTTCGTACATTGTGGGGAGTGGGATGGAATAGATATGTAATTGTCCTAAACAGCTGACCTGGGTTCACATTCACATGGTAGACCGTGTGGAAAGCTGAGTGGTTTGTAAGACAGCAACCATACCTGTCGAGCTCGAACCACCATCTATTTATATAATAGTCTTTGACAAAGAACATGGAACGACCATTGTTTTACTAAGGATTTTACACAACCAAATCAGATCAACCATATTTTTAAAAAGGTCTAAGACTTCTAGGGAAGATATATATATATATAATAATCCTGGGGCCCTGTTTTGATAGGAAGTATAGGAAGTTGGACCACATATTTTGGGTGGCTGCTGGTCCAACATAGAGGTCGGTCACTCAGGTTCGGGTGGAGCTCTTCTATACACATCTATTGATGGGGTTGATCGGTTGGGTCGTGACCGGTCCCATGTTCACCATGTTCACCAGTCACCCGTCGTGACCGGTCGCATGTTTGTTTCGCATGTTCCGCGGTAGACGGACCGACCTACATGGACCTGAAATAGCCACGCCCGGTGGGTTTCCAGGAAAAAAGGAACTGGATCCAGTCCTTTAAGAACCTGGTCTATGCCATAGTGTGGGTTCTGCCATCAGCTTCCATGTGACGTTTCTTTGCTTTAAGTTGGCGCAAGGGGCCACCAGCAGGCCATGCATTTTCACCCACAAGCTGGCTGTTGCATCACCGCCACCCGTTGCACCTGAGGCCACTAACCTTCCGGATGTCAACGAGCAGCTTGGTGAAAGGCGGCAGGCCCCAGTTCTAAAAGCAATTCACCAAGTGGTCTTCGCATGACAGGAGCCCCGTGCACGTTTGGCTCCGTGTTGGCCAGGCCTCACGTGAGCCAGGCATCACGTGAGCCAGGCCTTAGCTACAAGAAACTGGGTCCATCGTTCTTCGTAAACCTTGAATAGATGGAGAAGGGCGTTCGATGCATTTGTTGTGGGGGTTTCTGTTCTACCTATCTTGAGGTCACTTCAGTTTTTTGTGCACCAAGAGGCTTTGTGGATGTGCCTGAACACACAACAATTATCTCAGGGAGGGTAACCCAAAAACAGGGAATGAAGGGTGTAAGCTTCTTTCGATTTCCGCATCAGGCAATCCTTTCTCCACCCACTACTATAGCGATGGCCTCCAACCTGATAGCCATGGCCTCCAACCTAATTCACTGGAAGCTACTGATGCAATGCTAGAGAATCTTCAATGTGAGTGATTGGGTGGGGGATGGATGTGCACGAAAACCAACATTCTCATGTCCTGTGGCGGAGCAGCTTCGTTTGACGATACCGTGCAGGAAGAATTGTTCTTCATATTTCCCAAGCAATCACACTAAACTAGTCAGGGCCTCCGATCAACCTTGGTCAACCCAACCACTATGGACTGGTATAAATAGTACTTCCTCGGTGCGAGGCACAATCGGAATGGTTTTCAGACATGCAGGTACTGCAACCCAAGCTGTTCCCAGGTACTGTAGGATCCAGTTTCGGAGGGTTTTTTGGGGAAGTTCCGACCTCTCACTGTGCCACAGCGGCCAAGCTGGCGTGAAATGAATCCCAAGAAAGCTGTCAATGGGCCAGCAGTCACATAGTTGCTGGCTTTCCCGGTTCCCGGTCGGAGCGTCGGAGGTTCGGAGCTCTGACGGAGGACCCCCTGTCACGTCCCATCCACGAGCCACAGCGGCCAAGTGTATGTGACCATCCACTCTGTGGGCTTTCAAGTTTCAAGAGTCAGAAACCATCCCTATATGAATCCGAATCCACATACCAACCCCGAGGTACGGTGAGGTACGGGAGACTATTGATTCAGGCGGTCGCGTCCAAGTCTTACCGAACCGGAGGGTCCGGTGGTAGTGGATCCTTCTCGCGCATGGCATTGTTGAAGTCATGCCGAGTTGGGAGTACGTACTTCTGTCCCACTGCTACCCCAGGAAACACCGGCGCATTCGAACCATGCTGAGGGATAAGACCAACGCGCAACTCACCTATGACTTCTTCCTCCCCTACATGGCAGGGCAAACCTTGGAGCAAGTGAGAGAGGTGCCTAGGCGGACATCCGGATGTGGGCTCTTTGAACGATGTTGAATTCCTTCGGATGCTTATTTTGCATAGGGAGATGTCCGAGTTCAAACCCTGGAAGGTGCAGCTGCTACTTTAAGCGGTTTCAGGGTATATAAATAGAACTGTCTGTGTTTTAGATCGGGGGTCCGAAAAAAGCACCTTTTGGAGATTATGATGACTTACTCTGAAACTGCTGTATTTGAGGGAGATGCTCTTGAAACCATCCCCTGCAAGCAGCAAACACTGCAGGTGATACGCATAGGGGATGCGTCATAGAGGGATCATCGCGCTTTTTGGAGCATAGGGCGGACATAGAGAGGTTTGGTGAGAGTCCCGTCGAACTGAATGATGAAGTCATTGTGGATCATCTCATCCACATCGTCCGACTTCGTGAAGTTCACGGGTTGTCGAGCAGCAGAACCTCTACTCATGCCAGCAATGATACCTGATGATGCCCTATAGGCCGAAGTAGACCTACCTAGAACCCATTTGATGTTCAGAAAGGAGCGCTCTGAGCGGCGCGTTTTTGCATTGTTTCATTTTGTTTGTATTTTGTTTCTATATTTGTATTGCGTTTCTATTGATTTTTGTGCCACTGAAAGAATACTATTCTGCCTCAACCCCCCCCCTCCCCCAAAGGCAATTTCCAAAATTCCAATTTTCCAAAATTCCAATTTTCCAAAATTCCAATTTTCCAAAATTCCAATTTTCCAAAAAAACCAAAGAAACCAAAAAAACCAATTGTGCCAGGACTTTGCCTCACCCCCTCTTCCCCCCATGGTCTGTGCAGAATTGTTTTTTTTGGTTTTTTTGGTTTCTTTGGTTTTTTTGGAAAATTGGAATTTTGGAAAATTGGAATTTTGGATTTTTTGATTTCCTGGGATGTTTTAAATTTTCAATTTCCTTGGAAGTAGACAATACTACCACTTTCTCTCAATTCCAGAACAGTCTCTGAAACCCTCAGTGATTTGTTCATTAGGGTCTAATAATGCTCCTTCTGCTCCTTTAACTCGAAAATTGGTAATACCTGACATTTTAGAATTATAACCAGTAAAATTGACATCTGCAATTTTTTCAAATGACATACCAATAATGAATTTGTTCTTTCTGTATTGACGATACGAAAAACTTAAACTGTCATGTACTGTATAGCTCTTCTTAAATAGTAAAAGATTTATGATAATGATTGCGCTTCAAATTCTGTGTATTTCTGGGAATTGCTTAATTGAATTTGCCAACTTAAACTACGGGTGGCATCTTGAAAACCTTTGTACCTTGTAAGTCATTTGTATCAGCATTACCAGTATCATTAATTCTTCCATAGATCATAGGATTAATTCCATCTCTTATATACATAATTGTCAGGTAAGTATCGGTTCAGTTCTTCACCACTCCTTGGAGTTCTAAATAAGGTAATGAATGCTCCAGTCAGTTTAGAAGATGATTTTACAATATTCATATTAATTTCACCACCACCAGCATTGAATGTTTGGGTGATTGTGTGATAACAATTTGTAATGTTTCTTATCTTTGCCATTCCGCCCCCTTCTATGTCCTGCCATTCTAACACTCAATGGCTGACAAGTAGCACCAATATAGACATCGTCATTTTGTCATTTAGTATTCTGTAAAATTTTGCCTTGGAGTAATCCACCATAACATTACATATTTTAACTAAGTTTAAATGTTGTTTTTTAAATGAGTGATTGGGGTTAAATCCATTGCTTATATTGGTGCCGGGATTGATGTTCCAAAGGCCGTTCCCTTCAAAATTGATATAGCTGTGGCTCATTAAAGGGTTAGGTTCTTTCAAATCAGAAGTTACAGCGTAACCATCCAACATTGAAACAATATCGGATGGATTGAGGTAGTCAAGTCTTTTGGGACTTTTGTTCCTTTCCTTTTTGTTTTTATTGTAGGGGTAGCATAGGTTGTTGTAGCAAATGTATTAGGTTGTTCTTGATTGATCTTATTACAGCACTTGCAAGGTTATGCCCAACCAAACGGGTTATTTCTGGTGACTTTTCCAATTCTTCTATAACATGTTTGTATTTCTCACTGTGATGAACAGTTCTAGTAGGTACTAATAACAGATCATCCATAATATCCCTTGTTAAAGATCCATCACAACCACCTGTGCCACTTATGTATAAAGTCTTACTTGTTTTGTAAAAAGCACTTGGTGATGAATAGGCATTCCATAAGCCCCTGCGGTCTTCTATCTTCTCCTTGTTTGCTATATTTTTCTCTTCAGCATATAGTGTTCTATGTTGTTTAAAGTGATCATTTAAGTTTCTTGTAAAGTCATTCATTCTATCATTCCAATTTTGGTTCTTTTTTTTCATAATCACTGTAGGTTTCTTGACCGATCTTACTGAATAACATCTGGGCGCTTCCAGGCAGATCCTTCCAGGCAATGTCAGACACATCAATCATTCTCAAGAAAACGCATGAAAAAGGTTGAAAAATGCTCATTTTCATCGAAAAAACGCGCCGCTCACAGCGCTCCCCTCTCTTGATGTTTGTTTTCGTAGGAAAATATTTTATGTTTTCTCCAAAACAGGGATCAGTCAGGTTCTAGGTACTTCCCCCAAGCCTAAACTCTCGCCTTACTGTAGCAGCAAGCCCCTCGACGTGGCGAGCACACACTCGCCGCTCAGGCCTCCGAGAAGACCGCCGATTCGGAGGACCCGGCGTTGGATTGGCGCACGCCTGCGGCTCGGTTGGAACGAAGACCCCGACCGCCGGGCGATTCGGGTTGGGACCGGGCACCGCGGTGCCCTTGTCGCGCGTGAACGAACGTGCCGTGTCCTCTGCGGGTATGATATGAAGCGACCGGAAGAGCAGCCGTTTGTTGTAAAGACGTCCCAGAGTTTGCTTGAAAAGCGCTCGTTTTTGTAAGCGATCATCATTTTGGTGGGCGAAGTGAAAGATCATCACCCGGACCTGTATCGTGCTACTTCGAAGCGGTGAAATTGGCTCGTGTTTTACGAGCAATTTCACCACTTGTTCAGGGGTTCAAAGGTCGGAGAAAAAGGACCTTTTATCCATTGGAGGCTTGGAGGAATTCTGCCTCAGAGCTGGTGGAATTCTTCGATCCTTGCGCAGGGGCCTCGCCGCTCCTTTCGACCGAAGCTGGTTCGACCGAACCCGGTCGGCTCTTACGGATCTGATGTCCCAGTCCATGGCATCAGGTTCCACGGGGCTCTCAGAACCCAGGCGTCTCTTTTTCACCCAGGCGTCTCAGGTTCGATGGACCAGTTGAGACATCAAACAGAAGATGGAGAGAACAAAAGCATCTGAACCTGTTAGTAGCCTGAGACCTTCATGGACAGACGTCCACCATTTCTTTGAAATTTGTTGCGCGGCACTCCTTTGGTATTTGTGAGTTGTGAGCACTCCTTAGGGCCTCCTGCAACCCAAATGCTTGACTGAAAGAAAGATCCACGAGTTTCTCTGAGGTCTATGGGCGCTCCAGGAACAACTTCCATCGTTGCCTTTTGGACGCCTTGCACTACTGCCTGCGAAGGCAGCGTCAGACGCGTCATCAGACCATTTTGTCCGATCTCCAACTCGAGATGTATCCCCTGGAAGACGATCATTGGGACCCTGAAAACCACTGAAAACCCAGACACCATCGTGACGTGTGGGGGCTTTGTGGTGGTTCACGTGACGTGTTGATGAGACTTGCGTACGAACCTCGGACTTCGTTCGACCAGAGCTGCACTGAGTTATTGGCCGAACATCTACACGAAGGCATGCGGAAGACGACACCCACATCGGCCAAGCTGAAACTGACACCGCTAGATGACATGGACGGCACAGTCCCTCACGCTCATTCGCAGTTCAGCCACCAGTGCAGAAGACGGGTTTAAGAGTCGAGCGGTGGTGAACCGGGGGGGTTCTTTGAGGGGTTCTCTGGGTTCATGGGTTCTTTAAGACATGGGGAAAATATCCGACATGGATCCAGACATGGGGGTTTTCTGAGTCTAGTTTTGACTTTGGACCAAGAACTTTTGACTTTGGTTTCCATCTTCTACATCCCTTCCAGATGTCCACACATGGACCAACATGTAAATGTTTGCCATACACTTCCTTGGAATCAGAATGGAAGTGGAGAATGGCCCCTTGGAAGACCATGTTTCTTTCTCTACAAACAGGTGGTTTTCAATCCACGTAACGATGATTATTCCAGGGAGTGCGGGGAGTTGATGGCACAAACCGTCCAAAAACCCTCAGTTGACAAGCTGTGGGATCCATTTTGGTGCGATGAGACTTTCAAAAGTGGAGTGGTGCCTGCTGAGTTGGTGGTGCTACACCCCTGAAACGCCCGGACGTCACTCAAAGAATCCAACGCACTGCGAGTTGCTCTTCCAACTGCGTGGCTCTTCTTACTACTTGCGACGCCCGATGTTTTATAGAGGAGGCATCAGCCTCGACAAAAACAAGATCATCCATGATCACCTGCCATGGGCCCGAAAAGTCCTAATTCAACTAAGGCACTTGTTACTAGTAGCGAGGCACTTATATATATTTGGCATCACAAAAAGCATTGGAAATGAGATCAGACACGATGGGTGACCATGTTCAACCCTACTGGACCGAACCCTACTGGTGGGTTCTCATGTTATCCAATAAGTGCGCAAGGTCAGGACTCACTCATCGCTCTGCGACAGGAATGGTCTCAGTAAAGCGCGAACCAAGCTGGTGAAGTTTTGCCTGAGGCGACCGCGAGCCGGGGGCGTCTCGTCGGTCGAACCATGTTTGTAGTGGTTGGCTGAGGCACGATCCAAGGTGTTGGGCAGTCGAAAGATTGGGTCAAAAAGAGAGAAGTAGTGACCGATGACTAGTACTATTGAACGTAGGCGAGAGTTTTTATTAAACACATTTTTTGTAAAGAATTGCCATGTTATCCACTCACACAACAACCATCAACAACCCATGTGAGTCTAAACAGAGATTGGCTTCACAGTTACCTGTAAGTTGATGGCAAGTACACGTGGTGCCACAACTAGCAGTACTAGGGAAGTGGGAGAACGTATGAAAGTCTCTTCAACACCTGGAACCGCCCAAGTTCGGCGGTTCCGCTTTTTGCGATGGCCACGCCGGCCATTCCCGGCGTTCCCGACGCCTGGTGCGTGTCAACGACCGACCGGTGCCTCGTGAAACGCACAAAGCGCAGACCTTTGAGGGGAATTGTCAATGACCACCACATAATAGAATAGACAATTCATGAATCAATAAACAATAGAATAGAATAGATAATAGAATAGACCTTTGGGGGGAATCTGAACAGAACAGAATAGAACAGAACTTGTTTCATGAATCTGTGGACAGAAACTTCAATTCATGAACAGAAACATGAATCATGTGGACATGAACAGTTTGGAAGAATTCATTGGTTTGGAAACATGACCTCTGTTTTCATAGGAACATGTTTCATAGGAAAAGACCATGTTTTGGCTCCAAAACAGGGGTCAGCCAGGTTCTAGGTATATATATATATATTGTATATAACTATCTATATTGGGTTGTCCCAGTCAACCTGTACTGTAACAGTCGGTAAAAGGTCCTTATCACTAGTTTAGAGATGTCGGCCTACAGCTGAACTACACTCATGCACCGGGCCCTGGTAATGGGATAGACCGATAGACCCAATATATATATATACACACACATGTATACTGTATACCTCTTCAGGTTTTGTAGGAATGTCGTTAGCAAATTAGCAAACCTTAGGTCTCTCTCTGACCAATTCAAGCCCCAGAGTGGTTGCTTGGTCAAGATCAAAGCGATGAGACCATTTATAAACAGAAGAGGAGGATCTAGATGTTATACATGTGCACTGCAATCTTCCAAATCGCATCTTGGAGTGGGGATTATATACTTGAAGTAAATAAAGTACTCTATATACTTCTTTGTTTCTTTTGTACTACACTTCTGCAGGACATCTTTGTTGCGCCTGGCTTCCAACGACGTGAAGGCAGGGAGACCTTCCGCACTCGTTTGCAGTCCGACTCAGGGCATCCAGGGAGTAGGTAGGTAGAAATGCTCCACACCATTTCTACACCATTCCACACCTGTTTGCGATCTGTTCAAGATTGACATGTCAGAATTCCAGACAAACCAGGTGATCTGCTCTTACGACCCAACGCTGTTCCTTCTTGCTCAACCGGACGGACCCGGTCGAACATCAGACCAAAACGACGGTCGTACGGTCGCTTCGACCTCCGACCCGGTCGAACTGAAAGGCGTTTTCCTCGGAAGTGGCAGAAAATCGATGCGAGGTACGAGCAAGTTCGATCCCGAACTGGATGGTGACCAGTGGGGATGACTAGCATTTTACGTTTTTGTTTAAATGACATTACCATAATTTGACCTCACCTGAGCAGGTGAGAAGAATGGAATTGAGAATTGAGACCATGAATTTCACAGGCTTTACCAAAGAGCCATTCTTTGAACTACGGACTTGACATGAACACCAGGTCACCTCAGGTCACCTCAGGTGGTCCAACACCGGTCATCTCCATGGCTACGGCGCAGTCCCGGTTGGGGGCAGCGCTTCGTCTTTACCGCCGCTCAGGCGGTGTTGGAGCTCAGTGGGTCGGATCGGACCTTGGTGAGGATGCTGTGCAAGCAGCGCCTTGGAGAAATCGGAAGGGTGAGTGAGTTGTCAAGAAGGAGTAGTAGTACTTAGTAGTATATATACAATATATACATGGATCTTACTCAGAGAGGATGATGAACGGATGTTTTTTTGGACTTGGGTCTCTCCAACAAGGCCTGCCCACTATTAGACTATCATCATCAGTGATCATCACTTTAGGGACTTTTTGCCGTGAAAATCACCTGAAAGGTGGAGGATCAGCAAAGTGAATCAAACACCATGGGGAACCCCACCATGGTTCAGCCAGGCACATCCCCTTCTTCCTCAGAGTCCAAGTGATTGGCCTTGAGGACGGCAGAAGCCTGCCTCCTCCGGGCTTCTGCCGATGGGAGATCCGAATCCACCCCACCAGCGAACCGACCCGTCGGTGTCGCCGGAGCCGCTGAAGCGCAGCGTGCGCCCCACGAGTGCACCACGCTGCGTGGTTGGGGTCGTCCGAGCCCCGCGCGTTGGGGTCGGTGACGAAGGTGGAGTTCGGACCGGTTCGGAGGTGGAGTTCGGTGACCCACAAGGAACTCCAGGAACAGAAGTAGCCCATTTTGATATCAAGATAAATTCGTGCTGAAATGGGGTCAGCATGAGGAGTCCTGATGGAGGTGGGTGTCCTCAGTGTTTTTTGAGAAGGAGCGACATCCGTAGACTGGTCTCTTTTGCTTCTTCCAGGGGGGTCGTTGCCTGGGAGGTCTCCTTCCTCCTGTTGGAACCATCGTCTTCCAGGTCCATGCCAAGCGCGCCCGGTTCCAGGTGGGTCTCGGAACCTCCGAGGTGTACCTCTATAGACCTGAAAGAGACGACTGACGGACTGCGAGCTTGTAGGGAATACGGGAAGTTTCGCTCGGTTCCTGTCTAGAGATTCCCAACTGGAGCCAGCCACCCTCAGCCACCCTACTTTCGGCGCACAAGTCAGACAAAGGTCAGGCATGGCAAAGCCATACACAAATAGTTCTGAAAAAACAAACATATATATATATATATTGACATGATCATTGATAAAGATATAGTCTGATTTATGCTTGTTTCGTCCAAGACCCGCTTATCCTGGCGCTTGTTCTTGGCGCCTTGGCGCCTCCGCTGAGGGTGGCTTTCACTGCAGCCAAGCTTTCGAAGGTCAGGACCTGAGTGTTCTGCTGACAGAACATGACTCGCTCCCTACCCAGGAAAAGTGAACATCTGCACAACCATTTTTTGGGGATTCATTTCCCACTATGAATAGATGGAACCAAGTTAACCTTTGTTTCTTTCAGGAAAACTGAGGGAATCAGTGACAGAACCAAGTTTTTGTTGGGTCTCCAAGTATCTCAGAAGGTAGCAACTCACAGGGAACGACGTTCTTCCAACCGGATGACCTCACATGATTCCACCACGAATGGAGGTCAATTGCTTGGAGCTTTGTCTTTTTCGAGAGTGGATACAGTTCCGAACGTGGGGGCCCCATGCCCCCCTAGAGGCTTGCGTTCTTCTCAAGTCCCGTCCCCCTGAAGAGTTCGCATCCATGGGGTTGGAAGAGTTACCTACTGTACATGGATGGGTCATACATGGGCTGACGGACTGCGACGAGTCGGGCTGGGAATCAGGGAAGGAGCTCGCTCGCCTTCGCTCGGTTCCTGTCGAGATTCTGGATCGATCGCCACCCTCAGCCACCCTGCTTTCGACGCACCAGTCAGTCGGTGTGGGTTCGGAATCGGGGGACCTGCTCGTCCAAGGCGTCGCTTCCGACGGGTCAGACCCGACCACCCTGTCCCGGCCTGTCCCTTCCGAAAACGATGGTGGATGGATAGGTCGCAGCTGGTGATCCGTGGTTCTTAGGGCGGTTGATGGTTTGATCCACTCTTCCAGTCGGTTCTTACTCCATCTGAACAGAGTTGGCAGTGGGACTCAGATTCATGTTTCCTGTGGGTGGATCACCTTCGTGCGAAGCCCCTGGGACACATGTCTTCGTTTTTTTGGGGTTCCGGGTTCCTGGAGAGCAAATCCACTCAGCAAATCCACCCTGGTAACTCAGTCAGAACCTCTGTGGTGTTTGGGACGTGTAAAATCCTTAGTTGATTCAGGATGACCCGCCCATTAAGTTAATGGTGGGCCAGGAAGCGGAGTGGGTTCCCTGTCTTCGTCAGTTCGTCCGATCCACAGGTTGGCCATTTGAATCTCGACGGGCTGCGGCAGATCAAGCAGACGGTCGATGAGGTGCCGCCCTGTTGGGTTCGTTTTCTTTCTTTTTCGCATCGAAGATCTGCTTCTTGGAAGCTTCCAACCCCCGAACCATGGATTCTTGGCCCAAACCATGGATTTAAGAGCTTGAGTCCCGAAGAACCCTGGGTCTTAGTGATTTCACACTACAACCACCAGGTGAAGACAAATGGCCCGAACATCGAACGGGTACAGCACAACCAGGCTCCGGAGGGCTCTGGGAAAAAGGACCAACACCGCCACATCCGCGCGTTTCGCGTTTGGGGCCGTGCTGCTAACCCTGGCTGCCGATGCCGAAAATAGCCGCTTTGAGCCACACCAATGCAGTTGTGCACTAGACTATGTAGTAATATGTAGTACATACCTGGTCATCCCTTTGCGGCATCCGTTTGCCTGGATTGGCCTCGATGGTTGCGGGCAGCAGAACTAACCGATGGCCGATGGCCCACGGGGAACGAAGACCCGAAGAGAAGAGTGAGGTCGCGATGTGAGGTCGCAATCAACCGTGCTAACCTTTCTCCCTACAGGTCAGGTGCTTTATCTCATTTTACTGGCAGTCATAGGAGAGTTGCAGGAGGAGGAGTTCGGACCAGGACCAGGTTTTTCCTGGGTCAGACTGGACTTGTAGGGTCTATATGATCTGTATGAGTCGATATTTTCCAACGAAGAGAGGTTGGTGGAAGAAACCCAAAGCCGACGAGATGGTAAGTGAATGCAGTAATCTGCCCATCTGCAAAGGTGAGGTCAACTTCCTTTTATTTTTTCATTGTTTCCAATATGTTTCTAATAGCGATGGCCTCCAACCAAACAGCGATGGCCTCCAACCTGATAGCAATGGCCTCCAACCTAATAGTGATACCCTACCCCTGTCTTGAATGGTGAACAAAGTTGCTACATGCTTGGACCTGCTTGCGTAGGTTGTGTGCGGAGTAGACGGCACATCTTCGTGGAGATGCTTTGAAATGCTCTCCATGAGCGAACATTGGAGTGGCATGGATTACATGATGATACATTAATATTTCCAGGTCAGTTTCCTTCAGCAGCTGTTTGACCAGGGTGTAGTGTTCATGCCATTGGAGGAATTCACAAGCTTCGGTTGACCACTACAGATCCGATCCCGTTTCTCGGATGCAGGTGGAAACAAAGCTCTTGCAGAAGACCTGCAGTGAGGGTACTGCCTCCAAACCACCTCTGTGGCTTGGCAGCGCTGCAACGGTTCTGGGCTGCAAACCTCGTCCCAACCAACCAGAACTGGATGGAGCTCCCCAGTCCCAGCTACTTCCTATGTACAAAATCTCAAAGCAAAGCCATAGATTGGAACAACCAGAACTGTTTCTGGTTGAGACTGGGTTTTCCGGGCTGATCTTCACCCAAACCCTGAAAACCTCAGTGAAGTGGCAGTCTTTTTGGGAGGACCCTCGACGAACCAGTGAAACGGATCAGAGCGGTCCAACAGCTGCAGGGAATTCGCCCCTTTTTCCATGTATGTTGGGGTCCGGTATAGTAATAGGCTCAAGTTTGTGGAGAAGATGGGAGTGCTCAAGGCAGAAATCCCGGATGGACATCTAGTGAGGAGTCGCATGATCAAAGTCAAGCCTTGGCAACTCTGCTCATAGCTCCGAATCCAAGCTCCGTGCTGCTTCAACTCTAAGGATCTTTGGATCTTCAACTCTCAGGATCAATGGTGTAGAGTCCCCAGGGTGTGGAGGTCCCCGAACCCCGTCAATCAAGAAGTATGGTCCTTTTCAGAGGCCTCCAGAGCCAAGCCTCCAGCTCTTCACCCTAAACCCTAACCCGGGCCTACCGTGCTTTCATTCCAACCGAGCCCCAAAACAAAGCGACCGAAAGAAGCAACCGCCAGCGCCAGCCGCGTCCAAGGTTGGACCTGTGTACCGGCGAATCGTCTTCTCATGTGGCCCTGGGCAAGGCAGTTCCTGGGCGTTTGGCGGATCAGGTGATGTGTTTAGGTTCCCCCAACTCGCATCCCACTGCCTGGGGGCATCAGGATCAAAAAGACAAAACAACATGTTCAAAAAGAAACAAAACAAGATCAAACAACATAATCCTGACTAGGTCCCCTGGTCCTTAGGTCCCCTGGTCCTTTGGTCCGTTGCTCCTTTGTCCCCTCTGGTCTGCTGCTCCCGTGGTCCTTCAGTCTCCTCTGGTCTCTTGCTCTCCTACTCCGCTGGTCCCCTGCTCCTTCGGTCTCTTGGTCCAGTGGGCACCTAGACCTAGGCCCTTGGTCTCCTAGTCCGCAGGTCTTATGGTCCTTCAGTCTTGGTAGCTCCCTAGTAGAGAGATAGCTTCCCAGTGGGGTGCTAGCTCGCTGGTAGGGTATTTCCCAGTAGGGGGATAGCGCTGTATATACTTGATTTGCATTGCGGGGGTTATACATGAAATGATCACTTTTTAAAATAGTGTTTTTGTTGTTTTATTGTTATTACTTTTAACATCAAATAGGAAAATGTGCTAACTTTATTTAGGGCGGGTTTATTAACCAGGGCGGGAACTTGGCTAACTTTATTTCGGGTCCCTTTATTAATCATATGTCAACAATACTATCTTCTTTGCATTGACAGTCCCACAAAGGTGGATGATACGGCCGACCTTTGCTTAGCCGTGGGCCGTGGCTGCGCTCCCCCCACCCCCTCCCGCTCTTTTAATAGTTCACACTGCCATCCACTACCCCTACTATTGCCAGTGCCTCTATCACTCCGACCACCCCACTAGGAGTCTTACCACAGTTACCACAACTACTATCTTCTTTGCGTTGACGCTGCCACAAAGGTGGATGATAAGGCCCACCTTCGCCTAGCGTGACAGCCAGAAACCTTCGCTTAGTAGGAAGCGCCCCCCCTACTACTACTACTACTGCTACTGCTACTGCTACTGCTACTCCTACGCCTACTACTCCTACTCCTCCTACTCCTACTACTCCTACTACTCCCACTACTACCACTACTACCACTACCACTACCACTACCACTACCACTACCACTACCACTACCACTACCACTACTACTACTACTACTACTACTACTACTACTACTACTATGATGACGACGACGACTACTACTACTACTGCTATCCCATTCTCTTTTTCTTCGCTGTGAATAATTTTTGATTCTTTTTATTTGATGCTGTTTTTTATCCCTCACCCCTGCTTGGGGGTCTCCCTATTAAGATACCCATCACCCCCGTGAATGGCATGTGAGGAGACCCAATCCTCAGGCGGCGAATGATCATTCCCAAGAGAGTCAACCGATGTCGGAGTCATCGTGAGCTCTAATACAAGGCTTTTGGTCGTGTAATGGTATGCAGAGGTCGCCTTAGTGTTCTGAACTGGAGACAAGAATGTCCATCGAAGTGTTTCTGCTTCAAAAGCGAGGGACAATCCTTTGTTGTTTTGATTTGGCAGACTGTTGAGCTGAGCTGGTGACTGTTTCATATCCTGTGGGTTTGTCTGGGCTCACATCTGGTGACCCTTTGCCTGGGAGGTCGACCTGTTTTGTTCTTCACACGAGTCGATTGAGCCCAGAGAGGAGGATCCCAGTGACACATCATCTACGTTGACATCGCTGGATGAGTCTGTTTCTATTGGAGGATCAACCCAGACATTCCTTTTCAGAAGTGAATTGCAAAAGCTGAGGTTGACTGACTGGCTGGCCCAAGGAATAGTGGATCTTAGTTTCTCCTCTCTTCTGTTCCTTGGTGCTGCCCATCGTTTTTTTGCGCACTCCCTGTCCTCAGGCAGCTTCACTGCAGGCGGGGGCAACGGACAGTTTTCGCTGTGCCAAGGTTTAGCTGTCTTAAAGAGCCACTACATGTGGGATGCCTAGAACCCAGACATGACCTCTCTGCATAGTCACAGGTTTACCTACGCAGGGTGGAGGCCATCGCTATTGGGTTGGAGGCCCTTACTACTACTATAGAACAAGAAGCTACGAACGTAACTCAAGGGCATCGCGACTCGAACGTCGCCGCGATCGGACGCTCGACTCGTTACGAATGGGGCGTTCCTGGCATCGCTTCTAGTCATTACCCATACACTCCATGGGACTGCCAGTCCGGACTGCCGCCCCATTGACCCCCCTGGCACCACCCCTGGCCGTTTCTCGGCAGTCCGGACTGGCAGTCCCAGACAGGTTGTGTCTGGGTTATCAGAAGCACTCGTGGACCATCCGATTGACGCGCGCCCTCGCGGATCCTTCGAGCGGATCGCCCCGACCGGGCCGGTCGATCGAGCAGGCGGGCGGGCTTGGGCGGTACAGAGCGATGAGCCCAGCTGGTGGGAGAAAGCTGGCTTCCCAGTCTTTAAGCACTTGTGATGTACGGGATGCCCGAAGGAACAACCAGAAACTGTGTTTGGTTGGGACTGGGTTTGAGGGGAACATCTGAATTTTGGCTAGACTGCTGGACCCTAAACCCTACAAACGCTCAAGTTGATACATCATTCTATATTCTTGACCGCGCAACATGGACTCCACGTCACGTTGGGGCGCATTCTAAGGAGATGGTGCCTTTTTTCCAAAAGGAGAGGGCGCATGCAACGCCGGGAATTGAGAACCCATTTCCCTGCCCATTTCGAGCCGGGCTTGGGCTGCCATCTCATCCCTCCAGCTCTTCCGGAGCTCCTGGTCGATCCACTGAGACCGGACCCACAGGTTCGGCAGATCCATAGGGATGGAGTGCCTGAAGGCTCCCCCGAATCGAATCGCAGGCCTGTGATTCGGCCTCGGGCATCTTCCCGCTCTTCGAACGCCTCCTGCGAGAGGAGCTCGAAGGGAAGGAAGGCGGGGTGACGGTGACTGTAGCACTGGATTCAAAGAAAGCTAGCAAGATGAGGACAAAGTGATGAAGTTCTTGCATGAAGCTGGATTCTTTGGAGTTGGTTTGCTGGACCATGGCAATCACTTCAACCTGTTCTCCCAAAGGGGAGTGACTGGTGAACGTGTGAAAGTTTTCGTATCGATGATGATGACGACGATGATGACGACGATGATTTCCTGACTTTGGACAAATGCTTAGTATAATATCTTATATTATTTGTATTATAGTATGTTTGTTCATTTTTTCCATGTTTTGTTTTCCATTTTGTTTCAATTAATGCAGTTCTTTCCTCAGATTGGACGGATCAAGTCACAGGCCAGGGAACCAGGGTGACGCAACTCGGGGATGGCTTAATCACTGATACAATGAGAAAGTCACACGATTCTATCATATCCTCACAGGAATTCTCAGGCATAGACGCCTCCACTCCCTGAAAGAATCATGGTTATGGGAGAAAACCACCCGTTCGGTATTTGTGAAGGTGGTCATCCTCATGGGGCCATGCCATTGACTTCCAATGAATTCAGGGAGTAACTCTCGCTTTCATCAGGAACATGAGCTGTGCACATTCGTGTTTGTGGAACGAGGTCGATTTCGGTCGAGTCGAGCTGCGGGTTCGGGTCGGAGCTCGGTGCTTGAGCTCGGAGCTCGGGCAGGCAGCGCACTGGATACCTCCCAATTGCCGCTGAGAGGACAAAATTGTCATGTGGGAGCTGGGCTGAACAGGACGGGAGAGGACGATGGACATCTCACATCTCAGACGAAGATGGATCCCCAAGACACTGGTTGGTTGAGAAAACAGGTGCTTAGGAGGTGATTTTTCTCATGCTACATCCTCATGCAAGTCGGGCCGAAAGGTTACAGTCAAAACCGTCCAGTTGGGTGCTGAACTTTCTGCAGGTACTCCTGGCTTTATGGGTACTCCTGGTGATTGTTTACATACTCTTCGCTTCCGGGAGGCGTTCATCCCCCTGTCTCTTCCGGGACTTCCCGGGTGAAAAACCAAGTCGTTGGAGCGAACTTCCCACAGGCTCACGGAGGTTCGTTGTTGGTGCAGGTGGGGTACAGGAGGATCTAGACATTAAGCCAAACGCTCCATGGGACTGCCATATATGCCGATCAGTTGGGGTGGTTTGGGGGGTCAATGTAGGCATATATGCTATACATGGAGTGTATGGGATATATACCTATTATAGATCTTCCAATCGTGCATTTGTGCCAACCTTGGCTTCTAGATGCGCTTCGGCAAAACTGTCGCACAACAGTTGGAAGATCTAGGTATATCCTCCCTGCAACAGTCCCATGGTTTTGTGGAGTGAGTGAACCCCCCTGAGTATTGTTTTGTGCGAGCCAGTTTGTACAGGGAAAGCCTGTGGCTGCAGCGAACCATGGCTTCTTCAACGGTAGACAGCAGCTTCAGCGTCTTCTCATCCCAAACCTCATGCAACAAGTGAACATATGTTAGGTAGCTGATTCTCTCATCTTGTCATGTGTCTCCTCCTCCTGCTCCTCCTCGTCCTCCTCCGCCCTTCTCCTTGTGATCCTCTTCTCCTTCTTCTCCTCCTCCTGGTCTTCCTTTTTCTCTTTACTTTCTTCATGATCACATCATGCACGTGGTTCCGCACCTTTTGCTTCAATCTTTTTCACAAGGAATGGAGCTCTATTTTCAATTGACAACATTCTCGCTCCCGACACGTTTCAACTGAACTAATCATCGCAATTCCTTGGTGTCATGGTGTGTTTTCTGGATTCTGTGCGTGCCACATCAATCCAGCCCGAGGCCACCAGTGAACTTCGACCTCTTGGCGGGAAAGGTCCGTAGTGCCTTAGCTGATCACTATCCCAAAACGTAGCTCCAACCTGTCAAAGAACCTGGAGCTCCAACACCCTGGTTGGTTGACCATGACGTCCATTCTGTTTGAGTCAAGCAAGGTCGGCCATTTAAAAACCCCCATAGGCCCTGACTAGGCCCTGACTAGTATAGTTTCTCAAACGTTATGATTTTTTTAATGATATGTTATACGTGTGTTTTCTCATGTTTTGATCGGGGCCCTTAATTAGCAATAATAATCATCATCATCTTCTTCCACTGTTGGTGGGACATGTCGAAAGTAGATGCCTCAAGAAGGAGACCTAGGAGGCGCCTGGTGTTTTGGAACATGTCTTGTTCTTTGGCTGCCTCGTGTAATTCAGTGATACCGAGTCATCAAGAGCATCAGAATCATTGCTGAGCTTCTAGTGACGGGGCTTAGAAGCCAAAAGGGAGCTGTTAATGTTGATATACGGGGACTTTTCTAGTTTCCCGAACTGGGTAAATCCTCAAACCTGGGGAATATTGTCTATTTATGTCTTTTTTTCCAGGTTCCTTAAGCAAATCCAAGTTAATGTTGAGATAGCAGATGCAGCACCGGCAGCACTTGTGCTTTTGTTGGTGCCAGCCAAGCATGTGCCTCACAGCCAAGCCTTGCTGAGAATGTGCCCTGCATGTGAAAGTACATTCAAATAAACCGTATGAAGAAGAAAACACATTTGCCACTTGGAACTCCTGCGTGGTGATGAACTCCCACATGGATCATGGCAGCGCTCCCTAGTTGACCCGTGATTCAGCGCTCCCTCGCCCAGTGGCCGTCGGAAAGGATGGGAAAGGCCCCGCTGAGTCGAACCCCGTCGTGCATTGCCCAGACGCGATCTGTCTGGGACTGCCAGTCCGGACTGCCGAGAAACGGCCAGGGGTGGTTGAAGTTGGGGCCAATGGGGCGGCGATAGGCAGTCCCAGACAAGTCGCGTCTGGGTGTGCGTAAAGGAAAGTCGTCTTGCAGCGGGGCCGACACCATGTGATGTGTTCGTCAGAGCAAAGACTCGAGTTCATGCGATTGAACAACGGATTGCGCCCTGAGGCATGAGTGATGCAGTGGCAGCCCTGAAGACCACCGACTACTTGTTGGCACAATTGGACAATCTCAGCCGCTTGGAAGAGTTTTCCTCCAAATTGGGGCCCACCAAATTCGGAGAATTCGGTCAGTGGCTCAAAGGGGTTTAATCAAATCTACAGACGCAGTGCTGCAGAAAAGATGAATTCGGTTCAGGGTGAACATGCAGCAACCCCCATGCAGAACATGAACCAAACCAGCCGACCTAGCTCGTTTTTGTGGGCCAAGAACCATCCTGTATTATAAGTGTCAACCATTGGCCTGAAAACGACATCGTCACCTGTAGTGTGACATCCCACACTACTCCTGAAGGATCCTCCCCAACCCCCACCCGGGCTGACGTGGGTGCCGGGGTGCGGCCGACAGTGCAACAACATTTTTTGATCGAATTGGCGCCAGAGGTTCGAGCTTGCGCTTTGCGCATTTCTTGAAGATTGCCCTGGTGCAGCATGTCTTCACTCGCCACTGGGACAGATGGACAAAAGCATGAGCAAAACACATGTGTTGTCCAAGATTGGTTCGTGGTCGCAAGAATCTCCACACACTTCTGAGATTCCGGGAATCTCAGATTCCCATCTCCGCCGTCGGTGATCGGTGGCTATAGATTTGTTTCTTGTTGGGTTTAGGGTTTAGGGTTTAGGGTTTATGTGGAAATATCAAACCCACTATACTGTAGTCTTGATGTGTAGATATTTCAATATCAAACCCACTATACTGTAGTCTTGATGTGTAGATATTTCAGTGAACACTTGTGAAGCAAATGTTCTTGAAGGTAGCACTTGGGACAAGAGTTGAAGCAGTGACCAATTCTCCACTAGGAGTTGTAAAGCAACCGTGAAGGATAGAATCCGACATCCCCAAATGTGTGAATCCGAACCCAATTCATGAGAGCAAGACTCGCAAGTTGAACAATCGAGATTGTCACCCTTAGTCTTGCTAAATGCAGAACAGTGCATTTGAACCATGATTGCACCGCAGTGCATTGGAACAGTGTGTATGCAGAGAGAGATTTCCAATCCATTTCTTGGCAACAGGACTTGCACGTTGAACATCCGAGATTGTCACCTTTAGTCCTGTTGAATGCACACCAGTGCATGAAAGCAAAGCGTGTGAAACGATTGAGCGTGAGGACAGCTAACCTTTTCCTCGAGAAGTTTGGACACTTTGTACCTAGAGGTACGCGACTTGCAGTTGGTGAGGGTGCTGCACTGTACAGAAATGAATACACGTGGCCCGGACGCCACTTTGGCTCAAGGAGAAAAGAAGAGAAACTAACTGATCATACCAATTATGAGTTGCACTATATTTTTGTATAAGCTTGATTTGAAGTCGGACTAACAGACCGACAGTGTTTTCGAGTGCAAAAGTATTTGTACACTTTGTTTGGTGTCGTTGGTAGTCTCTTGTCGACGCTAGCACCGCCGTGCTGTAGCGTTCGTAGTTTATAGAAGCTATATAGGGTTCAGAGGAAAAGCAAGATGGAACCCACGAACCCGAATGCAAACACGATCGAAAAACTAATATGTCCAAAGGAAACTCTTGTGGGACACTCTTGTAGGACACTCTTGTGGGACACTCTTATAGGACACTCTTGTGGGACACTCTTGTGGGACACTCTTGTGGGTCACTTGCAGGACACTCTTGTGGGACACTCTTACACGACACTCTTGTAGGACACTCTTGTGGGACACTCTTGTAGGACACTCTTGTGGGACACCCTTGTGGGACACTCTTGTAGGACACTCCTGTACGACACTCTTGTGGGACAGTCTTGTAGGACACTCTTGTGGGACACTCTTGTGGGACACTCTTGTGGGACACTCTTGTGGGACACTCTTGTAGGACACTCTTGTAGGACACTCTTGTGGGATACTCCTGTAGGACACTCTTGTGGGGCACTCTTATAGGACACTCTTGCGGGACACTCTTGTGGGACACTCTTGTAGGACACTCTTGTGGCAGACACTCTTGTGGGACACTCTTGTGGGACTCTTGTGGGACACTCTTGTGGGACACTCTTATAGGACACTCTTGTGGGACACTCTTGTGGCACACTCTTGTAGGACACTCTTGTAGGACACTCTTAGTAGGAAACTCTTGTGGGACACTCTTAAGGGACACTCTTAAGGGACACTCTGTGGGACACTCTTGTGGGACACTCTTGTGGGACACTCTTGTAGGACACTCTTGTGGGACACTCTTGTGGGACACTCTTGTGGGACACTCTTGTGGGACACTCTTGTAGGACACTCTTGTGGGATACTCGTGTAGAACACTCTTAAGGGACACTCTTGTGAGACGATCTAGCGGGACACTGTCGTGGGACAGTCTTGTAGGACACTCTTGTGGGACACTCTTGTAAGACACTCTTGTGGGACACTCTTCTGGGACACTCTTGTAGGACACTCTTGTAGGACACTCTTGTGGGTCACTCTTGTGGGGCACTCTTGGGGACACTCTTGTGGGACACTCTTCTGGGACACTCTTATAGGACACTCTTGTAGGAAACTCCTGTGGGACACTCTTGTAGGTCACTCTTGTGGGACACTCTTGTGGGACACTCTTATAGGACACTCTTGTGGAACACTCTTGTGGGACACTCTTGTAGGGCACTCTTGTGGGACTCTTGTAGGACACTCTTGTGGGACACTCTTGTGAGATAATTTTGTGGGACACTCTTGTGGGTCACTTGCAGGACACTCTTGTGGGACACTCTTAGGAAACTCTTGTGGGACACTCTTCTAGGACACTCTTGTGGGACACTCTTATGGGACACTCTTGTAGGACACTCTTGTGGGATACTCTTGTCGAACACTCTTAAGGGACACTCTTAAGGAACACTCTTGTGAGACACTCTTGAGCGACACTGTTGCGGGACACTCTTGTGGGACACTCTTGTGGCGCACTCTTGTGGGACACTCTTGTAGAACACTCTTGTGGGACAGTCTTGTAGGACACTCTTGTGGGACACTCTTGTGGGACAGTCTTGTGGGACACTCTTGTGGGACACTCTTGTGGGATTCTCCTGTAGGACACTCTTAAGGGACACTCTTTTGAGACACTCTAGTGGGACACTGTTGCGGGACACTCTTGTGGGACTCTCTTCCAGCTCCCCAGATACTCCACGTACTACAGTTGTGCTACAAGGTCGCCAGTTCTCAGCTTCCAGCTCCACAGATTGCTCCGCGTACTCAAGTTGTACTACAAAGTCGCCAGTTCTCAGCTTCCAGCTCCACAGATTGCTCCGCGTACTAAAGTTGTACTACCAAGTCACCAGTTCTCATCTTCCAGATACCCCGCGTACTAAAGTTGTACTACAAAGTCGCCAGTGCTCGCCTGCATTTCGCGCGCTCGACACGCACGATCTCCGCAGAGGGTTGCGCGGGCACCGGACAAATCGCACTCTCGCCTGCATTTTGCGCGCTCGACACGCACGATCTCCGCAGAGGGTTGCGCGCGCATGGGACAAATCGCACTCTCGCCTGCATGTCGCGCACTCGACACGCACGATCTCCGCAGAGGGTTGCGCGCGCATGGGACAAATCGCACTCTCGCCTGCATTTCGCGCACTCGACACGCACGATCTCCGCAGAGGGTTTGCGCGCGCATGGGACAAATCGCACTCTCGCCTGCATTTCGCACACTCGACACGCACGATCTCCGCAGAGGGTTGCGCGTCAAGTCTCCAAAACGAGCGTTTCGTACGAGACTTCCTCAAAAACTCACACGTCAAAGTCTGCAAAACGAGCGTTTCGTACGAGACTTCCTCCTAAAGTCAAGCGGCAACACCCATCGGAGCACACACACATCACGCAGCCCTGCCAAGCAGTTTCGCGTTTCCAGCCCCTCCAAGCAACATCCGCTCACACGCCAATCCCAATGGGACAGCGACGTTCACCTCTACCACAACTCACAACCTCACGATTCCCTGCGCCTGCCACGAATCTTTCCCCATCCACGCGTCTAACGCGCACAAAGTACTGCGCCTGCCACGAAATGTCACCTCCCTCACACCTCGCAACCTCACGATTCCCTGCGCCTGCCACGAGAATCGCACTTCCACGCTTCAAAGCTCGCACGAAGTCCTGCGCCTGCCACGAAAAGTGACAATATCATCGCATGTGAGCTTCAACAAAATTTGCACCACACCACACGTTTGGAATGATTTCGACCCGTTCAGAGCACACTCCCATCCACCAAAATCGCCATTTCAGCTGAGACTTGTCACGAAAACAGAGCTTCGATGCCACACCCTGAAACGCAAATCCCAATGGCACAGCCACATCCAACACCCCAAAAACACGACTCTCCAAACGCTAATCCCAATGGCATTGCGCAGCAAACTGCGGATCTCACAAAACGCTGCGCCTGTGCAGCGAAATGCATCACGTTTCTTGCGCGACATGTCCGTGTCACGCAAATCACAATGGAATAGCGGTGCAAACTGACACGCGACCCATCCATGCAAAGTCACTTGCAAAAGCTTCCCCCAATGGCAGCAAATTTGAGACGCGACGACGACGAGAGACGACGACAGACGACGAGAGACGACGACAGACGACGAGAGACGACGACACGACGCAAGCCATGCAAACACAGCTCCAACCCCCAGACCCCCAACTATAAACGGGAACCCTTCGCTACGCATTCGGGAAAAGGTGTTTTTTTTTTTAAACTTTTTGCTTCCAGGGCTCAAGGGCTCAACCCTATATAGCTTCTGTTTACGCGTTCTTGAGGGTTTAGGGTTTAGGGTTTGTTCTGGTGATAGTAACCTATAGAAATGTCAGTGTTTTGTTCGTGTTCCCTGAACTTATACAAAGGGAACACTATGAACTTCTATGTCAAAGCTTATTTTGCGAGGAATAGTACATGATTGCTGATTGCTGATATTTTCTCATACTTCCTTCCTTATATCTACTGGAATCCAGGTGGGGACAGTATTCCAAGGTACTCAAAGCACTTGTCTGACACGGTTGATACAGGACAGTTCTTGTCCAATCCTCACTCGCCAAACGGGATTCTGACTTACCAATGGGCAGAGGGGCGCTCCAGGTGTCTCTTCAGACAGATGGCGATCCACTCCATCCACTTCAACAGGGCCAATAACTATCTCCAAACTGTGTCCTATGACCGTTGACAGTTGGATATGATATCCACTTATCAAGTTGTCACCATGATTGGTCAAGGCCTTCAGGAATCATCATCATCATCATCATCATCGTCATCATCATCATCATCATCATCATCCGCACACACACACACACTTATATACTCCTTCAAAGTAGTTGGGTTTTGAAGAACACCTGGATAGAACTGTTTGTCAGGTGTCAAGCATCGCTTGACAAACAAGCGCACTCAACAGCTCACAACGTCCACCGCTGAAAGACTCAGAAACTCCCTTTTTAATCTACTAGCCATGGCCTCCAACCCACAAGTTACTAGCGATGGCCTCGACCCTACTAGTTAGCCATGGCCTCCAAAATGCCAGAAACTACCTTTTTGCTTGGCCTCCAGGTTTGCTTCCTGTGCCCTTGGGCCCGATCTCCCGCACACGTGGCGTGGATCCAGTCTGGGGCACCACTGCCACGCCAGAGCAGCAGGCGCTCGGTCGCGGCACGTCCGTGCGCCGTACGCCGTGCGTCGGTCGCGTTGCCGTCCGTGCGGCACGTGGTCCGTGGGTTGGAAGGTCGGCTGGAGCCACCAGAAATCGGTCGGAGTTTGGTGTCCACTGGTTGTTTTGTTGGGATGTGAGCACTCCCACAGCCACAGCCACAGTTTTTGGGCGCGGATGTTTTCTGAGGCTCGTGATGTTGGTATCCACTGAAATCCTTGGAAGATCCCAGCATTGGTAAGCCGCCGGAGAGATGCTCGTGAGTGAAGCGGCAGGTGGACACGGCCTTGGTGGTCAAACGTGCCCTGGCATAACAGCTGTTGCTGTGGTTTGTTGGCTGGCTGGCTGGCTGGTTGGTTGGTTGGTTGGTTGGTTGGGTTTCTTTGGTTTGCTTTGCTTTGTGTTGTCTTGTTTTGTTTGTTTTGTTTTTGGTTTGTTTTGTTTTGGTTGGTTGGTTTGTTTGCTTGTTTGTTTGTTTGTTTGTGGTTGTCGTTGTCGGTTGTTGGTTCTTGGCACACTCAAATCGTTTATATGGCCCTGGTGGCACTTGGGAGCCCGGTCGGTGTTCAAGACGATGGCAGCCTGACTCAGAAGATGTTCCTTTCTCAGATTGTGTTGCCTGGCTTCGCAGGGTCAAAGACGCACAGCGTCTTCCACTTCCTTCATTGATTCTCCACTTCCATCGGCTGACTCCACCTGACTCGCTCCACCCCTCGCTCCGCCCACCTCGCCTCCCACGCTCCAAGCCACAAGGCATTGCGCAGCACTTCGCCATGAGCTGCGGGGCCACGGCAGGCCATCGGGGCTTCGATGGAACGCGCGTCATCGTCCTGGGCACCATGGCCCGGACGCCCAGCTTTCGAGCCCACGAGCGTCCAAAGAAGCAGCCCGTTTCAGCGAGGTCAGCGGCCGTGGCAACTAGTCTTTTTGAGTCTTCATCTTCCAAATCCTTGGTTTTTTTTTAAACTTATTTTTTTCTTCCGAACCGGAAAGCTCCACCTTAAGCTGTCGCCCAGTCTTCCGGTGGCCTAGTGGAGTCTTCCACTTGAGGTGATTCTGATGGATCGTCTCCTTCGACAACCCTTGACGACCACGACCAGCAAAGCCGTGGCCGGACGCATGGACGACGCGCCTTGGAGAGAACCATTTACTATCACTTTGGATCCGAGTCACGACACAAATGGGACGAACATCTGGGGGTTATTAACCTGAGGGTTTTTTTAATAGGCGATGTAGGCATATCTTCCAGTACCGTGGAGCGCTTGGGACTTGCACTTATCACTGTAAATGTGCAAAACCCTTGAGGGAACAATAGCAAAAAACACAGTGCCGGCATCCTAACGGAGGAAGTTCCAATTCTTGAAGCTGGCTGTTGCAAGATTCGCAAGATCATTTTTCTGAAGCTCCTAAACATACCCTGGTTCTAGTTTTTCCCTCTACAAACCAGTCGTCCATGCCGGAGGGTGTGTTCTCTTATGACTGCAGACAATAGCTGTCCCTTGCAGATCCCATGTGAGATTTAGGACTGACGATGTTTTCACGTCCAAAAACATGGCCATGTCCTGCTTCGCCAGGTTCGCAGGCATGGGTTGGTTCTTTCGTCTCATGCCATCCGTAATTGATGAAAATGGCACCGGTGGCGGACGGTCGCACCCGTCGTCTGTGCCGCCCCGATTTCGGGCCAATCGAGCGACTCACAAGTTGTGGCGCTGTTGCCTTCGACCAGAGTGGTGCGAAGACATGCTACAGGGACAACACTTCCTGGGAACCCAATCACTCCTGCACTAGATACTGGAAGTATTCACAGCTGGACTCAGATTATTTATCACTATTCACAGGTAATGTAACACATGATAGATCACTCGTTCTTCACAGGTTTTGTACTATGGTACATCCATCTCTGTCTCTTGAATCTTCACCGGGCTCAGCAGAGCCAAGTTGGACGGACCTCGCGACCTCGCTCGTCGGACTGCCCCCCAGGAGCACGAGGAAGAGACGCGGTTCTTAGTGTCCTGGGAGGTCTATGCGAAGCAGTCTGAGACCTTCTTGCCCCTCAAGCTTCGCCAAAAGCTGGGTGAAGGTGAGACGACCCCCAAAGCTGGAGGGGTGAATGCGAGACTAGATGCACTCCCAAGCAGGACATAGACATGACAAACATGAAACCAACACACGGGATGACATGACAAACTAATGGCAAAGGCAAGATGAGGCAAATGCTTGTACTTACCAGTGGCCCTCAAAACCATGACAAATAAAGGTTTCGGCATACAAAAACCATGGTTTTTGCTAGAGGAAAACATAGATGGTTTGTGGGGCCCCTGGTAGGGGTCCATTGTCCACGTGCATGTGTTCTTCTGGTGGAGGGCTACGCTAGTTGTGTTCCTCAAAAAGGTTGCCTTGGAAGCGAGGTTCCCAACCTCGGGTCCTGCGCGTTGGGTAGATGAATGGATTGAAGTTCAAGGTCCTTTGGTTTCAGGGACATACAGGAGACTTCGGCTTTTCACCCCCGAACATGAGGAGTTTAGCAGCTAGTTTCCGGTAGATCTTCCTTGAACACCAATTCATCCGGATGGATGAACTGCAGAAACCGCTCGTGGATGCTGAAAGATGCCCTGCGGAGTTGGCTCCGTTCGCTCGTCCCAGCGCTTTGTTCGCTCGAGTGAGGCTCTTCTCGCCTGACCTCAATGTAGCTCGAGCACGGACCTTGGCCTACTTCCAGGAGGTGGAGCAGGAGTGCTTGATTGATTTGTTGGTGGGGCCGGCAAAAAACAGGCTGTTTGGAAAACACACGTGGTCTTGACAGCAAAGTCGCAAGAGGTCACTAATTAGGTCAACTTCAATTAATGAAAGGTTGGTCCAGGAGAGATTGTGTGTGTATGTTGGACGGCTTTCAATGGATGTGGTTTTCGGAGTCTTTGCTAGGGATCCTTCTAAAGATCTCTTGTGAGGTTTGTGAATGTTTTGAATAACAACAACTTGTGCTCCAGCTGATTTTCATCAAACACCTCCCCCCACCTGTTGGCGAACCATCAAACAGTGAGACACCGGAAACATGTTACGAAAGCCAGCCTTCGTAGAAGGCGCTAGCGGAGTTGTGTCTGGCGAACGAAGTGAGTAGTTAGGGGGTCTGGGGGGGTGGCCCGAGAAAGGGACACGTCAACTCAGCACATGCTGGGGGAGGAGGGTGCTCCGAGGGAAGGTTTTTTGAGGTTGTGTTGGAGGTGATTTTTGAGGGGTGGTGATGCAAGAAATGCCAAATGCATCATTTGCATCATCTGAATGGAAAGGTGTAGTTGGCACCTTGCAAGGTAGAGAGACCTAGGGTAGCTATAGTGCAGCTACCAGGTATAGTACTTCAAGTTCCCTTTCCGTCAGCCGCTTGAGAACCTCTACACACGCACAGCAAGCCACAGCCTTGAAGTCTCATTCGTGCTTTGAACTTGTATAGGTGTGTAAGAGGTATAGCAACATACTACCTGAGAAGCTGCAAAACGAAAGCCAGCGCTTCCCTTTCTCGAGAACTGCGCGTCGAAGCATAGGATAGAAAGGTAGGTCTGCACCCTAGATCCACCATCCCACTCCATTTTCTTTCATTTCTCTACGGCAGCTCCGCTTGGCATTTGCCAGGTGGAGGCGGCCGTGAGACCTCTTACACACCTACACAAGTTCAAAGCACGAATGAGACTTCAAAGCTGTGGATTGCTGTGCGTGTGTAGAGGCTATCGAGCGGTTGACGGAAAGGGAACTTGAAGTACTATACCTGATAGTTGCAAGCAAGGTGCCAACTACACCTTTCTTTTCAAGGTGGCCTGAACAGAGTGTTTCAGGGCAGTAAACCGTGGTCTCAGGCCACCTTGAATTTAGCTTGAAAACCACAGCTACATAGCTACCCTGGGTCTCTATACCTGGCAAGGTGCCAACTACACCTTTATTTTCAAGGTGGCCTGAACAGAGTGTTTTAGGGCAGCAAACCCTGGTCTCAGGCCACCTTGACTTTAGCTTGAAAACCACAGCTTTGAAGCCTCATGCGCGCCATACCAGAACTGTAGCTACTTGTAGCTACCCTGGGTCCGTATAAATAGGGTTTGCTGCCCTAAAACACTCTGTTCAGGCCACATTGAAAATAAAGGTGTAGTTGGCACCTTGCCAGGTATAGACGCCCAGGGTAGCTATGTAGCTGTGGTTTTCAAGCTAAATTCAAGGTGGCCTGAGACCACGGTTTGCTGCCCTAAAACACTGTTCAGGCCACCTTGAAAATAAAGGTCTTGTAGCTACAATTCTGTTCCCAGGTATGGCGCGCATGAGGCTTCAAAGCTGTGGTTTTGAAGCTAAATTCAAGGTGGCCTGAGACCAGGGTTTGCTGCCCTAAAACACTCTGTGCAGGCCACCTTGAAAATAAAGGTGTAGTTGGCACCTGGCCAGGTATAGAGACCCAGGGTAGCTATGTAGCTGTGGTTTTCAAGCTAAATTCAAGGTGGCCTGAGACCACGGTTTACTGCCCTGAAACACTCTGTTCAGGCCACCTTGAAAAGAAAGGTGTAGTTGGCACCTTGCTTGCAGCTACCAGGTATAGTACTTCAAGTTCCCTTTCCGTCAACCGCTCGATAGCCTCTACACACGCACAGCAATCCACAGCTTTGAAGTCTCATTCGTGCTTTGAACTTGTGTAGGTGTGTAAGAGGTCTCACGGCCGCCTCCACCTGGCAAATGCCAAGCGGAGCTGCCGTAGAGAAATGAAAGAAAATGGAGTGGGATGGTGGATCTAGGGTGCAGACCTACCTTTCTATCCTATGCTTCGACGCGCAGTTCTCGAGAAAGGGAAGCGCTGGCTTTCGTTTTGCAGCTTCTCAGGTGAGGCACAGTTCACCGTCTCACTGTTTGATGTGTTGAATTTCATCATCAGCTGTTTGATTCAGCGTTCATGTTCCCTAGGGATCCAAGTACCTCCTCAAAACGTACGACTGGACCCTCCTGGCACCCACCCACCCCAGTCCCACCTTCGAAACGAGGCTACGACTGGATCCTTAGGGGTTGCTCTTCACTGTGTTGCTCATGGCATCATCGTGCCGTTCGCTGTGTTGCTGATGGCACGGCCGTCGCGGTGCGCACCCGTCGTCTGAAGCATCCAGATCTGACTCAATACTCAACTGACTGGTGCTTAGTAGGGAATGAGCCCCAATAGAGATTCCTTTGGATCCACTCCCTCATTCCCTACTAAGCACCAGTCAGTCAAGAACCAATCCCAAGGAACCAGGCGATTTTGCGATCGCTTAGACTTCAGACTTGATACACTTCTACCAGATGTTCAGTGGGACGAAAAACAACCAGTTTCGTTTTTCATTTTGAGCTGAACTCCAGGGGAACTCCCCTGGTGTGGAACTCTGTGGAACTTCTTCCTGTTCCACAGGAAGCGCGAGAGCAGGGCGCCAAGATCAAGCACATCTTCCAGTGGGAGCGTGATGGCAGCCTGGTTCAAGTGGAAGCTGGATCCAATCAGCTTCCGGGAGGGTGACATGTGACACCCCAAATCAAAGATGCAGTTTCCATGAAAACAAGTTCCAACTTCCAAGTTCCGTTTCCCAAGAGGTGGTGAATGGAGGATAGGTAGGTGATATGTTAGCCTTTTGTATGCACACGTATAGGTACATAGATGGCATATTGTACAGTGTGAAGTTGATGTCATTTGGATGAGTAGTATCTGTTCTTATCAGTTCAACCGCCATAGCGCTCGGGTTCAAAATAAAGCTGCTGCCTAACATGGTAGCGGAGCGCTGAAGATCCGGGCCAAAGCGCCCGGGGAGGCGCTGGGGATCGGGGCCCTTTGTGCGGTTGGGTGGCGATGAAGGCCCTCCGCACACTGCTGGCAGATGTTCTTTTTCCTTTGATGTTGATGGGGCATTTCGAGTTGATTCATTTTACATTGAAGTTGACATTGAGTGTTACATTGTTGGTACAAGCATTGGTTGTTGGCGCGATCTTGAGTCGAGACGGAAGCCCATGGTTTGGGGTGAACTTGGAAGAGCTAGATTTCGTATCTTTCTTCGAGAGTTTTACAGCACTAGCATGTATTCCATGGTGTTGGACGGTCGGCATGTCGATGATCGCAGCAGCAGAGCGCTTGGGCCTGAAGGAACTGAGGTGCAGGAGACGAGTGCAGAAACGAAAACGCACTTCAGGACTTCGAAAGTTGACAAAACATAAGTGGCATTTGAACAAAAGAGGAATTTTCTTGTTGATTTTTCTTGGAAGCGGCTACGGTGTTCATGGGATGGACCAGCAACAATTTTCACAATTCATGGAGGGATTTGGAAAATTTATTCAACGACAAGAGATGCTTGGACAAGCAACGAACAGTCTTGCAGGGTCGATCCCAGATATGCTGAAGGAAGCAGTGGCATCAGCCTCATCCTCGAGTTCATCTGCCGGAGTTGCAAAAGGACTTGAATCTGCGTCGAAAATCCTCAAGAATCCAGAGTATTTTGATGCGTCGGATCCTGGAAGTTGGATTTCATGGCGGCATTCTTTCCTCAATTGGTTGGCATATGCTGATTCAAGGTTCCTTCAGAGCATCAAACAAGTTGAGAAATTAGGAACTGATGAGGTCTTGGAAGAGTCAGGTTGGAGTAAAGCAGATTGGGACTTAGCGTACAAGCTGTACGCGGTCCTTACCTCGTACCTCAAAGGACCGGCACTCCAGATTTCACGTGGCATTGCAGAAAGCCGGAACGGATTTCAGTTGTGGAAGACATTGACAGATCATTTTGCACCACATACTCGACAGAGAGCATTGGCATTGTCACAGGCCATCAGTTCTTTTCCTACATTCGTTACGACAGGTGGCAAGACATTGCATGAGCAGATCATGAACATGGAGATGTTGGTGAACCAATATGATCAGTTGAGTTCAAAGCAGTTTGACAGGGACATTTTGTTGGGTGTTTTGTTGCGTGCATGTCCAGAAAGCATTCGACAACATTTGACATTGGGTGTAACAGAAGGTACAAGTTATTTAGAGGTGAAGGAAAAGATTCTTGCATACGAGCGTTCATCACGTTTTTGGACAGCAGGAGATGTTATGAAGCAGTTGGGAGACAAGCCAACAGCAAAAACAACAGATGGGCCGGTGGCCATGGAGGTCGATGCTGTGATGCAGAAGGGAAAAGCCAAGGGCAAAGGAAAGAAAGGCAAAGGCAAAGACTCGTCTTGGAGTTGGACGGGATGGACTGGTTGGGGCAACTGGTCGAAAGGAAAAGCAAAAGGCCGTGGGGCCAAAGGCAAAGGAAAGGACAAAGGAAAATCGAAAGGCAAAGGAAAGAAAGGTGGAAAGAGCAAGTCGAAAGGCAAGGGCAAGTTGAATCCGGATAGGTGCCGGATTTGCGGCCGTGCTGGACATTGGGGCAATGAATGTCCTGAGAGAGATGGAGGAGGAGTTCGTGAGGTTCGACAAGAACCGGACCAGCGGTCGACAGTGGCTCCTTCAGTGGCAGGAAGCACGGTGTACAGCAGTGTTGGGGCTCAGAGTACAACAGCTTCAACGGCAGCGAGTGGAAGACAGTCGGTTAGACAAGTTTACTTGTACGATATGAACGAACCTTGTCGAAACAATGTTTGGCATGTTGGGACACCTACAAGCCAAAGGCCGGAGTTGTTCACTTTGTCGGAGGCATCTGACAATGATGATTGGACAGCTTGGAATGTCAGAACAGTGACGTTGAGTTCTTCTCCAGAGCTTTTCGATTTGACAGATGAGGAGGACAGGGCATGTTGTGTTGATGCAGGCTGTTTGACAGACGACCCGTTCTATCAATGGCTGAGCAACGATTTTGATGTGCTTGAACCTCAGGTGGAAGTGCAATATGTGAGAGCAGTTGAGCAGAAGCAGGTGGTGGAAGGTGAGTGGATCATTTTAGATTCAGGTGCTGATGTTTCATTGATCCCCTCAGATCGTTTGAATGTCGGCAGTGAGACTACAGTACCACAGCTTTTCCTAGAGGACGCCCAAGGCAATTCTCTTCGTGTTGGAGGCATGCGTGAGGCCCAGGTCGAATTTTTGAACAGCATTCCAGAGACGTCGATGTGTTGTTTGTGCGAGGATTTCATTGTGTCGGATGTCACGCACGTTTTGCTTTCATTTGGCAGGATGCTCAAGTCAGGTTGGTTTCTCGAAGAGATTACCGGTGAGGATCGAACAAGATTCTCGAATCAGGCTGGAGAACAATGTGCAGGACTTCTTTCTTCACCAGATCGACAATGCAGGGTTCCAGTGTTCTTTAGAAAGAATAGTTTGAGTGTTTATGGACATGTGAGAAAGGTGGCAAGCAAGGTCCAAGAGGTTTGCAATGGTGCAATCCGTGGAGTGAACGTGGTGTTTGATTGTGACATTTTGAACGAAGTTCAAGACGGTTGGCAGTTTCTTTCAAACGGAAATCCAGTTCACAAGGCAAGAACAACAAACTTCACAGATCCAGCAACAGCACTGTCAAAGCACGTTTGGAAGTTCCGGACAACAATAGCATTGATTGGTGACACATGGGAGGTGATTGAGCATTCACAAGACCTTTCAGTGCTGAGTACTTTGGCAGGTCCTATCCCTGGAGTGTTGTTTGCAACATGGGTGTTGACATTTCCTCAAAGGAAGATGGAGGCATTGAGTTCTTGCTTGTGTCGGCCGGTGGCCGAGTTGATCCCGGCAAGGGAACAAGATCCACAGAGAGTTGAAGAAGATGTTTTCCCGGTTGAGGAATCGGTTCCATTCGAGTTGGCGAATAGCCCAGAGTTGGTGCATGGTGGAGCAGCTGGAGGACACGTTGAAACTCCGGACTCAGTTTGGGTGGCAGGCAAGGAGCTGACAATGACTAGCAAGTTGAAAGAGCTTCAGGAGGCTTGTGCATTCTTAGGCTTGAACGGAGGCGGGGCCAAGAGAAAGTTGTTGGACAGATTGGTGAGCTATTTCGACCAGAGATACCAGAAGGATGTTGATGCTTCACAGAATTATTTGCAACAACAACTACAAGGACCTCGTCCATCGATAGAGCCTTCGAAACCAGAGATGCCAGAAGACCCAGCTGAGATAGAACGACATATGGCAACACATTTACCTTTTGCAGGATGGTGCGATTTTTGCATTCAGGCCAAATCTCGTGAGGACAAGACAGTTTCGAATGCAGATCTCATTGAGCAAGACACGGGTGTGCCGCACATTCAGCTAGATTGGATGTTTTTGGGAAGGTCATGTCCTTCATTGGTTATGTTGGATTGTGGAACTAGATTTGGAAGCATTTTCCCAGCACCATCGAAAGGAGTGTTCAGGTCGGTGGCAGAAGCAATTGTCAAATTTTCGTTGGAGATGAACCATTTGCAGGAAGTCATTTTTGTGATGGACAGCGAACCAGCGACGATTGGATTACTAGATATGGCAATCACACTCAGACAGCAAATGGGGTACAAAGCAGCAAAGAAATTTGGCAAACCATACCACAAAGGGAGAACAGCCCGTGTTGAAAGGTTCATTCAGAGCATTAAGAGACAAGCAACAACATTGATGCTGAGTGTCGAGAAACAGGTTGGAATTTTGAGTGACACACATTGCTTGCGGGCTTGGGCTTTGTCGCATTCGGTATTCCTTCTGAACAGGTTTCATGAACACACGGCGATCAGGTCAACACCGTATGAGCTTGTTTTCGGCAAGAAGTATGTGGGAAAGATTTTACCCTATGGTGAATTTGTTTTTGGACTTCGAAAACCAGCTCGGAGTCATGGTACAGCAGTATGGGTTGGAGGAGTCTGGGTTGGCAAGGATTCGGCTGACATGAACGTGTTGCTGACCGCGGGCGGCACGATTCATACTCGTTCGATTCGGAGGTGTGCCAATCCATGGCGTGCAGATGTTGTGGCTTCATTGACCAATTCACCCTGGAGCAAGAACAAGTCTTCGAGACCTGTTGGATTGTTGGAGGCGCCTATGCCTAGGATAGAGGAATCACAAGAAGGAAAGGTTGAAGGTGAGATACCTTTGTTGCCAAGTGGAGAAGTGGACAAGGACGCAGCAGAAGTTATGGGACTTTTGCAGGAGGCGGACAGCTTCGAGTACACACCCTCAGAACCAATGCAAGCAGAAGAGCATGAAGAAAGAAAGGAAACGGTGGAGTTGGAGTGGCCTGACCCTAAAAGGGCAAGACAGGAGGCGTTAGATCAAGAAGAGTTGAAACCATTGAGTTCCGAGGCACGGAGTCTTTTGCTTGGTCTTCCTCTAGGTTCAGGACAACAAGAGGATGTTGAAGTGAGGTCGACTGCTGATAAGCGAGAGACAGATCATGGAGAAGGAGACGAAGAAAGCCGCAAGGTTCCTAGGAGAGAAGGCAGTCCCATGTCGAGTGGTTTGTATTCTCCTTTCTATGCTGGACAAGTGGAAGCTAGAATGCCAGACGATGATGAGCATTGGGAGGAGGACATTGATTGGGACAGTGTTGATTTTGACATTGTGGAGGACATGTGCCACGGAGAGCAGCCACCAGATTTGTCGGAAGCAGATCTTGCAGACCTAGATGGGCAAGCTATGCGTGAAGAAGTTGAGAAGTTGACAGGTATAGGAGTTGTGAAGGTTGTCAAAGACTATGACCGAGATCCGGCAGGCAAGTTTGTTGATTTGAAAGAAGTGTTCGACTGGCGGTACAGGAACGACAAGTGGAAACGCAGGTGCCGCATTGTTGCAAGAGACTTCAAAACAGGTCCGAGCACTTCAGATACATTTTCACCAACGTCGGCCGGAGGGGCAATTCGATTTTTCCTGTTGTTTCATTTGGTCTATGGCTGGAAGATTTTGTCGTTAGACATTAGTGATGCCTACCTCATGGTTCCACAGCAGGAAGTGTGCTATGTCCAGATCCGTGATTGGATCAAGAGTCTCTTGGGTTTGAGCAGTGAAGATCTTTGGGAGTTGAGACGTGTTTTGCCAGGTCAACGAAATGGTGCACAGAGGTGGTTCAATTATTTTTCGGATTTCCTCAAGGAGCTAGGTTTTGTGCAGTGCACAGCTATGCCTTCGGTGATGCGCCACAGTGCTAGAAAGGTGGTGATCAACATACATGTTGATGATGAGTTGGTAGCAGCTGAAAACATGGCAGAGGCTCACTGGTTCTTGAATGAACTGCGGAAGAAATTCAAGATACAAGTGGAAGGTCCATTTCCTCAAGGACTTCGTGGAGCCGGTGAAGAAATGAACTATTTGAAGAAGACATATGTTTTCACTAGCGAAGGTATATTGGTAAAACCCAACAAGAAATACATCGAAAGTTTGCTAAGGTTGTACGACATTGGCAATCGAAAGTTCAAACAAGTTCCAGAGCACAATTTGTTGGGGCAGTTGGATTTTTCAGAAGAGCTTGATCAACAGAAGCAGGCATTGTTTAGAAGCGGCTTGGGAGTGGCCATGTACTTGTCCCAGGATCGCATTGATATTCAGTTCTGTGTGAAGAGTTTGGCAAGTTCGATGAAATGCCCGACACAACAAGCAGAGAAGTCATTGATGCAGTTGATTTTGTACCTTGCAGGAACTAGAGATTGGGTGTTCAAGCTACCGTACGTTGAGATTGGAACAAGTTTGGCAAGAACATTGAACACAGGACAACAAGATGAGAGTTCGACCAAGGAACAACACTTGTTGGAGATATTCTGTGATTCGGATTGGGCAGGCAGCGTTGGCAGGAAGAGCACCACCGCATGCATGATTTTTCTAGATTCGGTGTTGGTGACGTCATTTTCGAGGACGCAGAAGTCGATAGCCCTGAGTTCTTGTGAAAGCGAAGTTCTTGCATTGACAGCAGGTTGCAGTGAGGGTATCCTTCTCAGGTCAATTTGGGAGTTCCTTTCGCAGAAGCAGTGCAAGGTGATAGCACGTTCCGACAGTTCAAGTGGTCGGCAGTGGTTGGCTCGTTCAGGAGTCGGCAGACTTAAGCATTTTGACATCAGGTTGTGCTGGCTACAAAGTGCAATCAGGAAACAGGTTCTGGAGGTGGCACCAATTGGAACTAGACTAAATGTCAGTGACCTTAACACCAAGAAGTTGATAGCAGCTCGCAAGAGGTTTCTATTGTTCTTTTTGGGTGCAACTAGATTCGATGAAAGCAGTGGAGCACAAGATAGCATCGGTGAAGCAGAGTTCATTGAATACATGACGGAGGAAGCATTGAAGGCACAGGTGAGACGAATTGGCAAACTGGCCAAGAACAAAACAAGCAGAGGAATTTTTCAGGTGGCGATGGCATTGAGTACTTTTGGTTTGAAGGGATGTGTGGAACAAGATGAAAAGAAGGTGGAAGAAACGTTCGAGAACAGTTGGCAACAGTTCGCATTGACATTGGTTGTGTTGTTGATCATTGCATTATGCAACTTCGTGTTTTCGCATTGGGAAGTGTTGCAGACATTGTTGCAGACGATGCTGGACAGGCGGGGACGAAAGAGGAAACGAGAGCTTGAGATCCCTGACCACGACAACAACGATACAGATGTGGAAGTTGAAGAGTTGGAGGTGCAAACTGGTGAACAAGCCAGTGCAAGCACAGGCCCGGTACCTCCATCCGAGCCGCCGCCTTTGTGCCCACCACCAAGGGCACCGAAGTTCTCTCCAATTCCTGTCGACCCACCTCCTCGGTGGGATCCATGGTCTCCAGAGTGGTTCCTTTACTGGATGCTTGGAAGAGTCAACAGCAGGATGCAACGTCGAGGACATTCGATGGATCACAATACATTGCTCAGGTACAGTCATCGGCGCGACATTTTGGAGATGCAGCTTGGAATTTTGGAGCAGAACCACAGTGAAGGTGTGAGGCGAAGGGCGCACATGATGTGCCGAGGGATGACAGATCTCTCACCTGACTCAGGTTCATCTGCAGGACCTGAGGTGGAGGAAGATCCAGAGCCGGAGCATGAAGAGGACATTGCAACGCACCGATATGTTGGACCAGAACCGGAGGAGGAGAGCGTTGGAATGCAGGTGCGGAGACAACAGTTCAGTACAACAGCAGCAAGCAGTCAGACAAACAGAGATGAGCAGTTTCGGTCGGAGCTTGATTCAAGTGATGGGTATTTTACATCATCAAGTTTGCCAGGGCGAAGTTTGGCGATGCCCTCGGCTGGACAGGAACCGCAGTACGATGGAAACGACGATGATGAAGTTGCGGACAGTGAAACACAGTCGCATAGAAGAATGAGGTATATCTATGCTGGAATTGAAGAAGTCAGTGACCCTGAATATTGGCAAGAGTTGCATCATTTCAGCAGTGACGACGAAGCAAGCAACTCAGGAGATGAGGACAACAACAATGACAATTGATTGACAATGGAATTTACAATGTGTTTCTTTTGAGGCGGATGTTCTGTGAAACCATCTGAACCACAGTCATCCAGCAACGAACAGATGTATCGTGCAACAGCTGAACCACGATACATAGATGGCACCACGATTTGAATTCAGGTGAATGTTACATTGGTTGACAGCAACAGTTGTTGGAAATGCGTGCAACAGCTGAACCACGCATGTGACATTTGTTGGAGACGAGAATTTGCAATGTTATGCATGGAATAGTGTATGAATGTACACCGGAACGGTGGCTACAAGAGTAGTCGTGGTTGCGAGAGACCGGTTTCAGTTCTGTCTAGTTGAGGACAGATCTCGCACAAATAGAGAAGTGTACAAAGGTGAAAAGGTGGAGTTGAGATTGATTCCATCTCACTCCAAGGCGGGGTGTTAGCCTTTTGTATGCACACGTATAGGTACATAGATGGCATATTGTACAGTGTGAAGTTGATGTCATTTGGATGAGTAGTATCTGTTCTTATCAGTTCAACCGCCATAGCGCTCGGGTTCAAAATAAAGCTGCTGCCTAACATGATACCTAACACCTATTGTTCACTGGCACCAAACATCACCCCAAGCTGAGACTCTTGGCGCAGGCTTTGGGTGGGACTCCAGTCTTTTCTTGGAATCCCCGAACATCTCAATATATCCCAATGAATTATACCTGGACCCTCCAAGGGGCGTCTAATGGACTACCCACACTACCTATAGGCTTCCATTGGGCACCCCTTGGAGGGTCCTGGTACGTTGTTTGTATTTCTTTTAACTGCTCTCTTTTTGAGTTTATGTTTGTTCAGAACACACATCAAAAGTAAATAAGGGACATGTCCTCATTCTGTGTGCATGCAATGTTCGGGATCCCCATCATCCAACCTCCCGAACCTCCCATCGAACTTCATGTTCTTGTTTCTTTCCGCTGCGCTGGGGACCGATCTGGGGTGATTTGTCTGTTGAATTGCCCCTTTCGGTCGGCGCATTTGGTCGAGCCCTCTGAGGTTGGGTCATGGAATTTCCAGACCAGGGCGCGGAGGCCTTATGTGGCAAGATGGCCAAGAGCCTCTACAAGAGGCAAGATGGCCGGGGTGTCGAGCGTCTCCAGCCAAGCGAGCGAGTGCACATTGGATGATTCACCCCCTGCAGCCATGGTAGGTGTTCTAACAAAAGGGATGTAAAGGACATTCCTCATCAAAAGGTGGGAAGGGTTTCTCTGGATGTATCGATGTTAAGGTACGTGGTAAATCCACGGTATATCTCATGGTGTTGTGTGAGGCTCCGGTCACCTTCATCGGTGGTTTTACCTCATGTACCCAGACTGTAGACCTTCACCCATGATCAACCGATCTCTTCCTAAATGAGCAAGTTCCTTTTGTTTGACCGGTGTGACCATGAGACTGGAAAAATGCCATGTGCAGGTGAACCATGTTGAGAAGAAACCGACACGAGAACCGACACTGTGACAATTGCAAGACATTTGCTTAATCATGACAATGACAGGTGTCTTGGTTTTCGCCTTTCCAACAATGTGTCAGGTTGGCGAACGAACTGCCCACCGGCGGAGCCAGGCGAACGAACTTGATCGACAGCTACGTAGACAGCTACTTCCCAGAGTTTGCTGCCTTTCGCGACGTCGCTGAGATGGAAGATCTCGACCGTTTTCCGTCGCTATTGACTGCCAATGCAGGACCTAGGGGCTGTGTTCTTTACATTTGAGGAGTGAGAAGAAACTTTGTGAGGCCAAACCAAGAAATGTTGTTTTGGATCAGTATGAGGAATTCTTTTAAGGAGCTTCCCCAAGTAGGTGCCCTTTGGAGACCACCCTTTTCCACCACGGCCTCGGCCCCTGGGTAGACTGGTCTATCGGCCCCAGTGGATCGGACTGCCACGCTGGAGCGCTCCATCTCGAGCATCCAAGAGCGTGGGACGAGCGTGGAGGAGAGAGCGTGGGACGAACAACATCGATGGTGCGAGGATTCCAGGTTTCATGCTACGAACTGATCTTCCAACATGATGACCACATGTCCTGCCAACCAACAGGCCACTGCCGTACCGCATGGGTCGTGCCACTACGGGACTCGTCGCCTTGTCGCGCCAACCTTTGGCAGTTCGTTGAGATACATGAAGTTCGACAGAACCTTTGCCACCGTTGGAAGATGGTCTTGTTCAGCTGTTCCGGGCTCTTCGATCCATGTCGTCGGACACACGACCGATGCTCCATGCTGTCCAAACCCCAAAGCCGCAGCCGAAGATGCCAGTTCCTAAGCCATTGGTTCCCTCAACAGCCAGGAACTCTGCAAAGAATCCAGGCAACTCTGCAACCTGTGTTTTGTCAGGTTTGGGTTCCCCCCAAAAACATCAGGCAACCCTCACAACTAGGGGTTTGGTTTCCAGCAGGGGTCCATAGGGGTCCATGATCCTCCGGTGGAAAGAATCGAATGAAAAGCACGTGAAGACTGCGCTTGGAATTGAACTTGTTTGATCCGATGTTCGGCCAATGGAATCATTATCCATCAGGATGTGGTGACACTCCCTGGAAGGAGTCTCTCCCTTACTTTCACCTCCTATCACCTCCTTTCACCTTTTCCAACCAAAGCCAGACGCTGTCCGACCGGTCGTCCCCTTCCCTTTCTGCTCCAGGTCTGTATGTGGTGGAAGTTCTACTTGTGCACCGACCCCATCGTGTTCCGATTCCAGGCGTGCGCCGCACTCAACCCGCGAAGCGCAGCCCTGGTGCTGCAGTCGACCTGAGTGCTCGCGCAACCGAGCGGAGCGGAAGAATGCGACGGAGCCAGAGATGACGAGACGGAACTTGTTTGAAGCTGGATGGATGATGGATGCATCAGGGGTGGTGGATGATGATGGATGATGGATGCGTCATGTGACCCCTCCAGGCCTTTTGGAATTGAAGGATCCACCCCTATCCTGGATCATTTGCTTGTGGACCGGGAACAAAGCTCGAGCTTTCTGAAGGAAAGACCTAGCTTGCCGACCCTTGAAACGGAAACGTCTTGAACTATGGCTCTCTCTGGAAGTCTGAGAGCTTATTCTGAAGCCGCGTGAAGTAGAGGAGCTGACTTCTGAGGGTTCAGAGATGCACTTCATTCAATAGCAACCAACTGACAAAAACACATCCTGATCCTGCCATCCCATCATACTCTGGGTAAATCACCCAAAGGCAACCAAATATGCTCATTTGGTGGAGGATGCTGTCCATTTATGGGGTAAGCTTGGGGCTAGGTGGGAGAAGATTGGCTTACAGGCTTACATTACATTAGCTTTTGCCAGAAACTTATGGCCACACCACCAACGGAGACGGGTGGCACAAGAACAGTTTCATATTAACATTCTACGAACTCTTGTGGGTGTGTGTATTAGAAGAGACGAAGAGACCCTCACAGTTGACCTCAATGCGAAGAGCAAACATCGGCTGAAATCCATAAAAACTTAGCAAAATCATCCGTTCTTCAAGCTACGCCAGCCGGCCCACAAAAGATGGCCGACCCAGTTGCCCATATAGGTAACTCCCTCCCTTTTCAAAGCTGATTTGGCTCTAAGGTCGGGAGTCTGGACCCCTGGTAGCTTCCCCTCCCCTGTGGTCTATTCTGTTCCGGTGTGAAAGCCCCACCAGGGTATTCCGGTGCCATGTCCAGCCTTTTCGACATGACACCGTTTCAAGCCAAACACGCCTGCTCCTCCTTTCACCGTGTTGCTATGTTGCTGACCGGGGAAAGCCGGCAGAAACCGGGTGTTCTTGTGCCTTTTTTGTGGAGTGACCAAACGGATGAGCATGTGGGATTCGGATGCTGTCAGGACAGTTCGTGAAGCGATTTCAACCGCTTCCTCGTTGATTCTAGAGAATGTACACTCCCTGAAATCATTGCAGTGGATGGCATGGTCCCCTAGAAGACCATTTTCTGCTAGAAACAGCTGAGCCGCGTTCAACACCGGCAAGGAACTTTTTGCCGAAATCGGCCATGAACTGCCATGTCCTGCCATGTACACAGACGGAGGTTTTGAACACCAGTCTTGCGCTCTCGAAGTCCACTTCCATGGACGAGCCAGTCTTGCGGATCAAACATTTGTTTTTTTTCACAAACTAGGTGTTCATCCCCCAACCTACAGGGAATCAGAAACAGGTCGTGAACCAGGTTCATCTCATCCTACGAGAGTTCATGTAGTGAAACACCTGGCCGGGAGGCCCCGGCCTTGGGTAGGTACATCCACTCATAGGGTATGGCCATGGCGGTGTGGACAGGTGGTTCACAGGTTCAGGTTTGAGGTGACTTAGAAGTCTTGGGAAGGATTTAGGCAGGCTCTTGGAGACTGGCGACCGGGAGAATCACATGGTTTTAGGCCGTTGGGTCTGGCCGCCTTGGGGGAAGATCTCCTCGCAGGCGTTGGAGTTCTCGGACGGGCACCTACAGTGGTCCATCGACATCCACCCGCGCTTCCAGCCGCCGGAGCTGGTTTTGGAGAGCGCGGCGAAAGGGCTGTTGAAAGGTGTTCGAGTTTCGTTGGGCTTTTGGTCCCAGTTCCAGGGTGTTCATCCCCCTTTATCCCCTTTTCCCGAGGTTTTTCATCCTTATTCTTCATGGGGAAGAGGTGTTTTTACTGATTTTCCCGGCTTCCTGGAGAAGCAAATCCAAGGCTTTTAAGGGGAGAGGGACCGCGCCAGGGTCCCCTTTTCTTCACCGCCCAAGTGTTTTCTTCGGTGCCGGGCGGGGAGAGGGGGTGAACGATGGATTCAACTAAGATGGCAGAAGGAAAATAGATGGAGCTGATTTGGATTGACCATGCCAGACATTTTGAGGGGTGAGTTTCTTGGGGAAAGGCTTCCTGGGTGTGCTTACAAGAGGCACTTCTTCACTTTTTTCTTATGCTAATATGCCTACAAGGGCACCCCCCTTGTTTGTGCTCCATCACATGCTTTCTCGGCACGCAGGTTCTTGGAGAAGTTAGGGGATACGGATCTTCAATGATCAGTGGTTGGGACATCACACATCCGAGATTATAGACCAGGTTTGCAAGGCATGGCTGCATGCTGGTTGATTCTTGCTAAGATGTGCCATGTGCTTAAGTGGACATACCGTCTCTGAGAGTCGAACCTAAGTTCGAGCCTCGGTGCACGGTCAATGATGGGTGGAATGTAGAGTACATGACCCAAGATTGTAAGCTTAAAGTTGGTGTTCTTCTCAGCCCAGTTGGGTGTGGTTCCATCCCGATATGATCAAGTACGTGGGCAACGTTCATGTTACGCGGGGTTAGCAAACGTTTGGGTTAGCTGACGTCTCACGTTTAGGTGAAGAGTATTCCAGCAGAGGTTGAAGAACCCAATAGACTATCAGGTACCCCTGTAGAGCCCTATAAGGTCACTTGACCTCTGTTGGTTTATCAAAGGAAGTTTAGGGTGCAAAACTTCCGTGTTACGGACTTTCAACAGCTCTAGCTCCAGTTAGTTCCAGTTTCAGTCAGCTCTCTAGCTCCACTTTAGCTCCAGTCAGCTCTAGCTTTAGTTAGCTCTAGCTCTGGTTTTGCAGGTGTTCAACATGCATATTGGAACGAAGTCTCGTACAAAGTGCGTGTTTGAGAGATAGTGGAAGCACGAAATGTTGTGTTTTTCAATACAAAGGGTGGCTCCGAACGTGGCAAGTCAAGCTCTGCGGAACGACGGTTTCCGGACGTGTTCAAATCGTCCCTCCATTGTAACTAGAGATTTCACCTGTTTCTTGTGTGCGTGCTGCTGATGGAATTCCATTGCGTTTTGCAACTCCTGGATGGTTTTCGCACTGTAAATGTGACTGCAAGTGTTGCTGGTGGATGAGTTGTCGCTGGAATTTCATTGTGTGTTGCAACTTCAGGATCGTTCCCGGAATGTAAATTGCACTTTCATGTCTGGTTGGATCATGTCTTCCAGTTACATTTTTCAGGAAGTCTCGCAGAATTGCTTCGTTTTGCAGGTCTTCAACATGCAGTTTGGAAGGAAGTCTCGTACAAAGTGCGTCTTTGAGAGATAGCGGAAATGTTGTGGCTCCGAACGTGGCAAGTCAAGCTCTGCGGAACGACGGTTGCCGAACGGCCTCTATGACGATAGGTGTACTGCAGCCCCCGGTGGTTCACCCCCGCCGCCAGTTGTTCCACCTCGTCCAGCCCCTGCCGGAGGTTCTGGGTGAACCGTTCCTTGGTCTTGCCGAGAGGCATCGGTCTGTGGACCGCGCAGACAGCCGGGAAATGCTCCTATGTCCGTCGTTGAGAACCGCATAAACAGCTGCTACCGCGCAGGACTCTTTGCACTGTGTGGAAGAAAAGAATGTGGTGAGTCGGTGACGCATCGGCTGTGCTCTTGGACTTCGATGAAAAGCAAAAGAAGAAGCCACTGCATGCACAGTGCCACTGCGTGCACACTGCCAGAGCGAGTACGTCGTTGTGGGCTGCTTGCATGACGCCATCGCTGTGGGCCGGAAAAAAAGGGGGGTCCGCAGGGCATGTGCGAAGGGACACTCCTATAGGTCAAATTGTTCCTACAGGAAACTTCCGCCGCCGGCTTGCCCGGGAACTGCTTGTATACAAATGTTGAGCGGTGCTACGTTTCCGCGTGTCGTACATTTTCATTTTTAGGCTTATGATTTATGATACACATCATGTCACATGAAACACGTTGCAAGCAACTCCAACTTCCATGCGGCATCATTATACCGTTATATAACATATATATATACATATTATGTAAATATAGCAGTAGTTGTCCCATATTACACCCATTGGTAGACAGTGCTGTTTTTTGGGTGACCAGTGACCATTCCATATGATTTTAAGGAATGAACCAATCGCACACACAGTTCTTCCTAAGGAAGCGCTGCTACATCGTGAAGTCTTTTGGACAAGGGAACCGTGCGCAGATGCTTTTCGGAAAACTGGAGAAGCCCGCTGGGAGCTCAGCAAGCATCATTGGCCATTTTTGCCGGGCCTTGAACAAAGTTGGTCCTTGCACTGCTAGCCACCAAAGCATTGTGTATGGGATTCATATTGCATCGACCGCCGATACAAGAAGAGGATTCATGTTCAATTGGAAACCACTTTTTTGCAAGGAAGTCAATCTATGACCTCTTTCAATCTTCATGGCCTAGAACCTCTCCAGGCTCCACATGAGGAAAACACTAAAGGAATGTGCACATGAAGAGAGAGGTAACAATACAGGGCTGCACTTCCTCTTGTGTCCCGCAACTTGCCATGTTTGGTCGTTCCCCATCTTCGCTTCTTTCTTCTAAGAGTGTTTTCAGAGTAGATGGCACAATCACCAAATGGTGGTTCCATATAAACCAACCCCAATTGTCTAGGACATCTTGGGGTGCCAGTGCCAACCCTATAGACCCTAAAACCACTGTACTCAGCTGCTTAGTTCCGTGGCTTGTCCCAGCTGTTGAAGAACCACCCTGCACGAACCGCTGCAGGCGCTGAAGGAGCATCGTTATCAGTCTGAAGCGCTCCCAAGTAACCTGGCGGGGCAGAGCATTTGGTCCGAGGACCGGGATGGAAGGAATGGGAAAGACATATTCCCTTCCACCTCTCGATACTTCTCATCGAGCAATTGACCAGACAGTCCCAGAACAATTGAACAAAATCTGCATGTTTCCGCCCGATCTGGTCTTCTTTCACTTCAAAACCAACACCATCCACAAGGACCAACGCCTCGCTTCCGCGCGCCCCCGCGTCATGGCTCGGCAGGACGACGTGCTCCACGTCCACACCTTACCCTCGTTTGGAGATCGTCCCCGATCCCAGACCCCGCGGACGTCGGGATGTGGAGACGTGGAGTGATGGCGCTGGCCACGGAGGTGAGCGGTGACTGGTGAGGTGGCCGAGTGCCCGGAGCGATGACTGGGTCAGAGTGATGACCCGGCCATCATGGATGAACATCTGAAGATATCGCTTCAGCACGAAGAGAAGGTTCCAACTTTTTCAGTTCGTGACCTTTTGAAGGTTCAGTGACCCGTATAGTAGGAGGCTTGTTTGTGACCTCAAACAAGGTGATCAAAAGGTAAGTTTGAAGAACCAGGTTTGTTGTTCTTTCTTCACATGTCCATGTTTCTTTGGCTGCGCGCCGGCGCGCCGTTGGCATTTTTATGGGGTGGGTGGATAGATCGGCACACTTGGCTCACGAGCAAGAACGGAAAACAAAAGCCATCAGGGTGGTTCTGAAGACACATCCAAAATCCCGACTTGTAAAAGTTTATGCTTGTAGGCCTTTGCAGCATTTGCAGTCTCTCTCCAAGCAATTTCTGTGAAAGGTAGACTCATTGATTGATATGATAAACCCCTCATATATGAATCAAGAGGATTTACCATCCACTGTCTGTCCACATTTGGGGTGAAGATCGTCTTATCAATCAGATTAGTCTACCGAACGCGCTTCCTGTTTGGGTGTCCTGTCTGGTGACCTATATCTCAGCAGTGTGGGGGACAATCCATCCAGGTCACCGGTGACCTCGCCCGCGCGGAAGCAGCGACCGTACCAGCTGCTGGACGACCAGCTGGTGGCACCGGACCAAACACGTGACAGCCGAGGCCTGGGCCAAGCGGACAGCGAGCTGCTGTTGTCCTACCTGACGGCGCGGACGAGGGAGAGAGGGGGAGATGACGAGAGGAGGCATTGACTTCGAGGTTGCTGGGAAGTTGGGCAGTGTCATTCGTGACGAGATACACATGGGAATTGGTCTTCCCTCAAAAGAAAACTATATATAGTGAAATATATTACTTACTATGGTAGTAAGGCCAGGAGCCCCTAGTAGCTTCTTGTTACTACTAGTAAGGCACTTGTTACTAGTAGCGATGCACTTGTTACTACTAAATAGTTAATTATATTATAGATCTACGTATCAGCTGTCGAAAGAGCACTGAACCCGACCTCGCACGGCAGGTGCCGTACCTTCGCCTGCCGCTCTGCTTGGGCTACTTCTCCAGCGAGGTGCTCTACGCCTTGTGGCCCGTGGCCGTCAGTGATGGCGGTGAGCGCGCGTGTGTGGGGGGGGGGTTGCGGTGAGTGTAGGACGGCACCATCTCCGGTGCACGGTGGGACACCCGTTCTGGACAGAACGTATCTTGGGGTGGCGTGCCGCTCGGAAACCACTGGGATGATGTGGGTGTGTATCCCAAACACTTCATCGGACTGTACTTATCTACATTAAATTGACCCTAAGTCAACAACCCCAATGTAGTAATATGCGGAGTGTTTGGGGACCCCCAACCAAATCGTTTTGGTGCCTTGGTCCTGAGAATGCATGTTCGATGCATCCTTTGCATTGATCTTTCGTCACCTCATACATGTGCAACCCGCAAGTCAGCACGTCGCAGCCGGATGTCTCGCGTCTCATCGGCGAGCTCGCTTCCCCATCAGTTCCCCATCAGCAGATGGTGTTGGATGGACGATTAGAGACCCTTTGGACAGTTTTGTTGAACCAACCCAGTCAATGGATCACTGCAAAACCCCGTTTGGGGGAAGCCTATGGAAACCTCAGTGTATTAAGCCAAGAGGCGGAAAGTGATGGGAAGTTTAGTTACCAGTCAAGTGACTGAGGAGGTCAGTGATTTGTCGAGTCATTACCTATCTAGGTGATGGTTTCGGATTTTTTGATTTTCAACCCTTACTTGGGGATGATGGGACCCTCTGACTAATATTTTTCAAGTGGGTTGAAAACACCAACCAGCTATAGATCTTGCAACTGCAAAATGTCTGCCTACCTGGGCTGGTTTTAAGATGAAAAGGCAGAGCTCTCGCAAGGTCTAGGTATACGATGCTGGACTTTTTCCGGACTTTCCCCTTTCCGGAGGTCAAAGCGAAAACCTCAAACCGCCGCTCCGATCTCCGAAAGCCGCGCCAGGATCGTGTACATGCCCTTTCTCAGAGCCAGCTGCGGGACGTACTACAGGCCGCTGGGACCTGTCGCCACTGACGGGACCTGAATGAGTGGTAGCTTGTGTTGAATCGAGAAAACTGGGTGGTGTACTAGGACCCACTGTCGAGGTGGTTAAACTCACACCCCCAAAAACCTCCAAGGGGCTATCAAGAGACACCCCGGTATGGGTGTCCTGGTATGTGTTACTGTTTTTTTTCTTTTCCAACCTATATGGTATGATCTAACCATATCTAAGCCTAAGCCACTCATACATTTCCAGTGAGTTGAAACCGCCAACCAGATGAGTTTTTACACCGAAACTCTGAAGAGATCCGGCTGTTTGTTCGCCAGATGACTGGATGACAAGACATGACATGACAAGACATGACAAGACTCTAGTGTTTGGATGTCCCCACTGACATGAAGTTGCTGCCTACCGGGCAGAGACGACTCTGTTTGTCCACGCGAAAAAAGGGCGTCTCTCGCGGAAGGGCGAATTCCGCCCTTTCCAATGCCAAGCTATATGGCAAAAGGCCCAGGCCGTAAGGATCGTAGTGTCAGGCAGGATGCGACTTGTTGGGTTCATCAGGATGATTTGTAAGTTTTTGTTCAGACCTTGAAGACCACGGTTTCACTGGACATTTGTTGGGAGAACGCCGATTTTTTGCTGAACACTCCATCGTGACATCCAGGATGGGAGGCCAAGG